ATCGCCGACGATCGCGCGCTGCAAAACGAGTTTCAGATTCAGTTCTGAGTTTCATCGCTCTTTATACAAAATGACGCGCTTTATTGAAATAGAAAAGGTCAAGTTGAGGAAAATATCATCACTCATATCAGTCTTATTTTCAAATAAACCTTTCAAAAAACAAATTATGGAAACTGGTGCGATTTATTTTCAATTTTTTTGTTAATACTTAAAATTATCCTGTCTATATTATAATTTAGTACTTTGTGTATTCAATTTTTTTTTTAAATGTAGCTTCTAAAATTCCTAGGTCAGTGTATTCAATTTTACTTAGATTAACAAATTTCTACTTAAAATTATCATTATTAAATAATTATTTTAAATATTATTTGTTAATTATTAAATTTTCATTGAAGGAGTTAATTGAATCAATCGCTGAATTCAAAGTTAGATTTTATTTAATTTTATATTATATTCAATCATTATTTTTTTTACCTTGAATCCAGATTATAAATGTTCATGATCTAACAAAAAAAAATCTGCTTCTTTTCAATAAGGGCAAAGAAAATAATGCTTTCAACGCACCGCCGGCAATTGCGGTGCGCATGATCCAAGCATCAAAGTCTCCTTTCCTTCTGATTTTAATTGAAAGCGACCATTGTCACGGACAGACCGCGGCGGCGAGTCCAAACAATGCGGGCGAGCCTTCAGGCTTGGGTGGTTACCTCAACGACAGTCAAGGTTTGAACCCAGTCGCGACACAACAGATTGCGTTGATAAAGACATTTGTAATTACAACAGCGCCAAATTGAAAACTGCGGTTGCTGCCGTTCGAAAGGCTTATGCCAATCATTTGACTGCGACCGGCTGCTGCACTCTGGCTCGTTTCCATCTCACTCGTTTGCATACAAATGGAAACGTTCAAATGATAAATGATCAATCAAGCTTTTGTGTTATGTAAAAGCGTAGTGAGCATCGATTTCCATTAAACTTCTGATTTTTTATTATTATTATTGTTGTTTATTTGTCCGAATTGTTACATCACGTTGTTTACATTCAATTGTTGAAAAAAATTTATTTTTAAGAAAGGAATTGTTGGAAAAAACGGCACCACCACTAGCAAGAATTTTGATCAAACTTCCAGGATCAAAAAGACCCCATCCATGCAGTTTATCTTGTTTTTTTTTCTAAAGATTTACTTACTTTATTTTATAATGACATGCTGACAATAATGAAATTAAAAACACTCGAATTTCCCATTTTATTTATTTATTTAATTCTTTTTTATTTAAAGACTCATCTCACACCGTACAGATGTAAAAATTCTGAAAAAAAAAATTATATTCATTACTTTGTTTATTTTCTGCTTCATATAGAGGAAAAAACGTCGTTTTTAATTTGAAATGTCAAAGTTAAGATAATTTTTGAAACAATTAAAGATTTTTCTTGTTATTTGATTGAAAATGAAACCCCGTTTATTTTATTTTATTTGACGAAGTAGTATTGTTTATTTATAATGTAAGTTTAATTTGAAAGCAAATTTAATTTACAAAACTTTTTTCGTAGCAATATGTTATGTGTCAATCAAGTGCCTCAGGCTTGCCACATTGGCGATCAATTCTAATAGACAGTGAACAAACCAGCAACATTATAGACCGAAGAAATTAATTATGTTGCCTGCAAATGGGATGCCAAAGTGCAGTGCCCTAGTTTGGTCCCCTGAGGAAAATAGCCTGCTGTGATCTTTCAAGGTTGTCTGTGTCTACCAATATCCCTATTGTACTATTCAGATGTAACTAACTTGTCCTTTAAATAATAACAAGTCTTTTCAATTTTTATTACACCCGGACCGATGCGTGACCTAATTTGCGATTTATCTCACCAAATTTTCAACTTACACGCAATGCAATAAAAAATTTATTCACATGTTGGCCCAGATTTTCAAATAATTAATTTATCAATCGGTTTCACATTATTATCTAACATGGTGTTGGTGAAACGACTTTTGAAGAGAAAATTATAACCTGCTGGAAAAAAAAACTAAGAGTGTATCAAATTAACATAGAATCTCCGGTCAAATTAAAACGGCAGACGAAACTAAACAGACGAAAAAAAGCAGCTGGCTGTCCTCTTGTGCCACAGGTTTTGATGGCTGCCGCGAAATTGGGGCAAGGGCGACCAGGGTTTGGTCGACCCAACCCCGCCGGCTGGCATCGCCCTGTTCTCGCGAAAAAAAACCTCTTGAATGTCACGATCAGGTTACTTGTTTAATTTTTCTCTCCTTTGCCTCCATTCGAACCTGTTTGCTCTGCGGTTTTTGTGCAGCACATTATCTCTCTCGCAGTGACACACTGAGAGCTCGCCTTTGGCACAAATATTTGTTGAATTCAAATTCACTTTCTTTTGGCATGTGGCCGCAACGCAGCTTTTCACTTTCATACCGAATTCATTTGCAATTACGGTCGGATTTCAGCCTCAAATGTAAATACTTAGCGTGAGTCAATCGCGGAAATTTAGAACTTCATTCAACGGTTAAATTGAGCCATTGATTCATTATTATATAAATGCCAAATTGAGACGTGCAATTCTGGCCGCCCGTTAAGATAATTCGTCGCTAAAAGTGATAATTAAGGTTCCGTAATGGCCATATCAGCCGCGTCGTTAGCAACTTTCTGCGGAATTTTTTTTTTCGAGACGAGCACGATTCTCGGGCCGAATCGAAAATCAAACCTTGGAAAGTGAAAACAACACACTCTGGGACCCATCCCAAGCAAGCGGGATAAATCAATCTTTGTCTCGCCTCAATTCCTCTGCAGCCCTTTGATCTTTTCCCATGGGATGGGCATTTTCTCACAATCGTGATGCAGCACCTTTCTGAGATTCAAACACTCGACTTGAGAGCCCATCTATGCAAATTATCCGCACTTGAGATGCAAATATTGACCGCGAGTCTCGTTTAAACAAAAGACGAGTTCACGCGCTAGACGAGTTTATTATTTGTTAAATTGGGCAATGCATAGACAAGCGTTTCTATTCCTGATGTGAAATTATTTATATTTGAAGTTGCAAGAGCTTAATAAATTTTATACAAGGTAATTCAAGACGGTTCTTTTTCGGCAAAAAGTTAAAGAAAACCTGATCCGAGCAGGATGATTAGAGATTCAAGCCACTGGAGCGCGTGTCTTATGCAACGTGTGGTATCAGTTGTGTCAGATTTCATCTTGGCCGCCCAGACCTAAATCACTTCCTCTGAAAGAACCGTATCACGCCGGTCCAACGTGCTGCGAGGTTGTTCTCGAGCACGCAGTTTAGCCGAGGCAGGTTCTCTAAGCAGGTCACTGGCACCGAAGCTAACCCACTGGCAGCCTTCTGCTGATGGAATCCACTTTTGCTTTCTATCGCCAGGTGGAGCAAGCAAACTCGCACTAAAAATAATAGAACGAAATTTCATTATTATCTCTTATTTAATAAAAAAAAAATGCTTATAATTTAAATATATTTGTTTTCCTTAATTTTTTTTAGCTTGATGAAACTTTGAAATTTTAATTGATTTGTTTATTGTTTAGATTCATGAAAAAGAAATAAGTTTGAATTAAAATTTCAAAGCATGGTTACTATTGTAGGAATTTGAAATAAATTAAAATAAGAAACAGCATGCACTTAGCTTTTTTTTTAATTTTTTTTACGTTTTAATTTTCAACTCAGTTGTACTACGTCTAGAGAGTTTCATTCTTCATTTCTTTATATTTTGTTGCGTTTTGTTGATATTTAAAAAAATCAAAATATCTATATTATGAAAATACACTTGCTTTTTAATTTTTTTACGCTTCATTCCAAGTGGAAGTAAAAAGTTTGTGTTTCAAAAAGTCAATTTTAGGCAACTTGAAACATTTTCTTATTTATCTGCACCCCACCTATTTTATGTTTCTAATTTACATCTACGAGTTAATAGTATATCTTGACACAAGATGGCGCTTAAATTAAAGTTATTCCTGATAAAGCTACATTATTTAACAACTTTCTCTGCGCCTTGCAGCGTATGCTTCCATCTCGGCAAAGGAGCAGACCACACAAGCTACTTTTCAGGGGATTTGGTTACCCACTATACTATGGATAATATAAACCGATTATTTAATGGCTTTGAAATTGATATGGAGTATTTCATATTAATTGAATTTAAATTAAATTTTCTCATGCAATCCTACCTATCATATTGAAAATAAATTCAGCATTAAGTCGTCTTGTTTCCATCAACGACTACGCCCGTATGGGAAAAGACAAAACATGACCTTATAATATGTTATTTAAATTTATAAACTGTTAAAAATATTAATTAAAAATAATTGTAATTTTGAAATTAATTAAAAATTTTAATTGTTATCAAATTTCACTTGTATTAAGTTAAATATTGAAGAATTGTACTCTGATGAGGTATTTTCAATAAACTATATTAAGTCGTCTTGTTTTCTTCTTTTTGCAAATTTATTATTATTATTATTACATTAATTCTTCTTGGTCAATACAAAATTTTAAATTGGAAAATAGAACAATACAACTTGCTAAAACGCTCAATATCAAAAAAGACTTGTCCGCCGCGGTCAACTTTTTTTCAATTTTTAGAATGGAGTTTGTTTAGGTCAGTTTAATGTAAATTCAACCTAAAAAAAACTCCATTCTTTAAATTGAAAAATAAAATTTATATACAAAAAAAAAGTTTACCGCAGCGGTCAAGTCTTTTTTTAACTGCAAATTTGTTTGCTGGCAGAGTGAAGCAAGCGAGTACCGGTTAAGGAGTGGTGATCTAATCAATCAAATCGAGACTAATTTGCCAAGGAAGTGCCACGCGAACAAGAGAGATGCGCCACCGCGCGGTGAGAGTTCTCTCGCTACGTGTGTGAGAGTTCCAAGTGCGTGCTGCATTTTAAATTAAGATTTCGCCGCTTTTGTTGACCAGTAATAAAAATTCATGCGACGCCCGCCACCGATTTCCGTCTTCTGCGGGGGTAGTCGAGTATAAAATGTCTCTGCACCGCCGACGGCGATATCACATCACCCGCAGCAACCTCAACAGAAGCACAATGGCATTCAGAGTGAGTATTGAATTTTTTAAGTAGTGAAAATTTTAAATTTATTTGGGTACAAAATTTGACTTGAAAACGCTGCCTAGTAATTTTTTTTTAATTAACTTAAATTGAAATATAAATTTTGAATTATTTCAAAGGAAAATGATGGAAATAAATGATTCTAATTGAATTTAATGTGAAATTTTTCGTTTAAAATTTTAAAATTTACATTTTTATGATGGAACAATTTTTATGTCAAATTTTATTAATTTTCAATTTCTTTTTTCCAGCTTGTCGCATTCCTTGCGTTGGTGGCAGCATCCCGTGCCGGAGTCATTTCGCCTTTCGGTTACGCCGCTGCCCCCTTCCCCTACGCAGCCGCCCCCGCACCCCTGGCCGTCGCCCCCGCACCTTTGGCTCCCGCTCCCGTAGCTATTGCTCCCGCCAGAGCTGCAGTCCTCGACGCCCCGCCCCAGTACTCCTTTGGCTACTCGGTGTCCGACGCCCTGACCGGAGACAACAAGTTGCAGCACGAGACCCGCAACGGGGACGTCGTCCAGGGTGCCTACTCGCTGGTGGAGCCCGACGGCACCGTCCGCACCGTCAACTACTTCGCCGACCCCATCAACGGATTCAACGCCGTCGTCAACAGGCAACCTCTCGTCAGGGCCGCCGTCCCGGCTCCGGTTGTTCCTGCTGCCCCGGTCGTTCCCGCAGCTCCCGTCGTGCCTGCTCCCGCAGCACCCTTCGCAGCGGCTCGCCTGTTCGCTCCTGCTCCCGCTCCCTTGGCTGCGTACCCAGGATTCGCGCCTGTCCCTCCTTTCGCCAGAGCTGTGCTTGGTTGATGCCATAAGCAAGGGTTAAATCGCCTTTGTTATTTATGCATTTAATGTGATGTTGATTTTTTCTATTTTCTAATTTTAAGTCAAAGAAATAAAAATGAAATTTCAAGTGAACAAAGTTCATACAAGAAAATGAAAATTGGTTTTTAAATTGCTATAAAATTATAGCAGAACACAAGATAGAAGTAGATCTAATTGTAAAAATAAATTTTATTAATTCTTCATTTGTAGGTTAAAAAATGAAATTTTGTTGGCAAGATATGTGAAAAAATAGATGATAGGTGAATGGTATTTTTATGAAAGAAAAAGCTGATTTTAGATGAAATTTTACAATTCAAAATAGGTGACGAAAAGTGTACAATGAGAACAATCTCAAAGTGGGTTGTTTTTTTACTCAAATATGTTAAACATAGTTGAAATCGGTGATTTTTCATACAACATAATGATTTTCAATCTTATCATTTTTTATTTAAAATTTATATATGACATGAGTAGATTGAATAGGGTTCCATTAATCCATTTTGGAGCATCTCCTATATTTAGCCTTAAATGGTTATCATTATCACCTATTTTCCCGGCCCTAGCAAATTTTTAAACCTAACTGATTCTGAAGCTGTTATTATATATATAGAATTTATTATCATTATTTAATTATATGTTGTATGAGACATAAAAATAATAAACCCCAAAAAAAATTACTTTTTATACTGATTTAATGTAATTATGTTAAAATAATTATAATAAATAAACTAATAGTTATAAAAGTAATAAAGTAAATGAATATATAACAAATATAGAATACAAACTTCAGGAATAAATTTAACTCGCAAACGAATAAGATTAGTCTTAATAAAATTGATGAGATAAAGAATAAAAAATTGATTTGCCTGGATCAAATTTAAAAATTTTCTATTGAACCTTCAGTCTGTGAAATATTACGTTTTAAAAGCTACTTTGTATTTCGTGCATCTTTATTTATTATTTAGTTTTTTTCATTGGTCAGGTTCTCAACATTAAAGCGCTCGTTAAACTAACGAATTTACGCCGGTCTCTCGTAGCTTCCTCGTGTTCTTTGAGCAGCTGTTTGTCGTAAAGTCGTCATAGTTCTTTCGCCACATTAGCAGGGTAATTAATGAGGCAGGTTGAAAGTGCCACCATCTAGTTTGAATCCCAATGGATCATCCACTTTGCAAACCAGGTTAATTATTCTTTCATCAGCCGATAATCGTTTGACGCTAAAAAAGCGTAGCATCTCGCGAGCAAGCACGCAACAAGGCTACATAATAAATGATAATAACGTGCGGTTGCGCTTTTTACATGCACTTGGAAATTAAATTGCCTCTAGATCGCGCAGGAATTCCTTTTGCGACGGCGAAAAATAATCATCGCTGACATTGCTCCACTTTCGATTATTTCCTAAAATCCGGTCGATTGTGTCAAAACACTTTCCTCCTCCTTCTCTCAGGGTTAAGGTCAGTCTGAATGGTTCATGTTGCGTCAGAAATCTCTTTCGGAACAGGTGAAAATATTTGCTCTCCTGCTCTCGCGAATCATTTATTCCTGGCCCAAGAGTTTCCCCATTAATCACCGCCCCTGCGATCGTTTTGGCGCCGACTACACGATTTTCTTCTCGATCAGCAGCATTACATCACGCCGCACTACTTTCAGCTCTAGTCAGAGGGCAGACAATGAAAGTTTTCTTTCTTTCCATGTGCTCCAATCGGAATCCAGGCCAGTCGTATTTCTCACTCGCTGCCAAGTTCATGAATTAATGTTACCAACCGCATCAAATAGCGCGAACAACAAAAACTTCGTGATCCACTGGCTGCCTCTGGAGGCAAACAATCCACCGAGCTCTTCCATGCTCAATTGCTTTACATAATGGGACGGGTGTAAAAATGTATTTTTATTCCCATCCAGCCTTGTAAGGACGTTCGTTCACTCTCGCTGCACGCCTTTTTGGACATTCGTGAATAAGCGCAGCCGTTTTATACACCACAATTGATTATTATTGTAATTCGTAATTGATTTTCCATGCTCACGCCCTGCATTTTGATCATGTGCTGCAGGTCGTAAAGAATAATGATCGTGCTCATTTGTAGCTATAAAATGCATTTTTTTTTACTGCCTGAATTGACAAATTACTGGTTCAAGATTTTTATGGCTGAATTAATTTCTTGATTGAATTGCATTCAAAACTGTAAATTATTAGAAAATTAAGTTGTTTTTTTAATATTTGATCAGTATTTGATTTGAAATACCGTAAATTGACATTGATATTTAAAAGTAGCTTCGTCGCTTTACTGAATTTCTTGAATTTTAAATTTTCAACAAATCTACTCAGTAGAAAAAAATACTAAATTTAAAAGCTTTTTCATAAATGAAGTTTCTAATGTGTGTATTTAAATTGTTTGTACATAATATTGATTCTTTTCTGACGTCATCCGTCTCAACATGCAGGCTGCAAATAACTGTTGAAAAAATTCATGTGATTTAAATTGGTTGTCTACCGTTGAAAGTAGATTAATGGCCATAATAACTGACTGGACACTCCCCGATATTTGCTTTTTTAACGATCTATTTCCTTTTCGTGCAATCACGCACCTCTCATGACTGACACGTTTATTCGTAATTGCCAATCGAAAGGCACCAACGAGGAAAGTAGCTCCTCTCAAATTATGCGTCCACGTGCTACACACTAATTAAATTTCAGAGCACCTACAACCTTACAAGGACACTTTTTTTAATACTCATATTTCAGCAACGAGTCTTGCACATGAAACTCGATTAGCTTAATTTCTGGGCACGTGAAGCAACTTGCGGTCCCATCAAGAGACGCGAAAAATGTCGCCGATCAAGAGATCTGGTCTGGCAAATTAGATGCACCTCTTAAAATGGGACGCTCCAAATAAATGGTTGCGGGCGCAAAAAACAAACTCAAGGTGCGATAAGGTCAGTCGGATAGAGCAGCAGTGTTAAAAAAATCCAGTTGCTTTCCCTTCTGCGGGCGTTCCCTGTCTGATTCCCGCGCAGGTAGCAAAAGTTGCTATTATTCAATCGCTCGCTTGCTCGCCACAGATGCAGACACTCTCGTGACTCAAGGATCAATTAATTACAATCTGAATGCATCTGGCTGGCTGGACAAACGCGGTTGGTCTCTGAAATGTGTCGGGAAAGTGCAAACGGCCTGATGGATTCTAGCATAAGCGTTGCTCGGAGGCAGTCTCGTCATCTCATTAAGGGACTACGACTCAAAATTTGATATAAGTTTATTTACGATTTGATAGGTTTCTTAATTTTCTACAGCGGATTAGAGTTTTATTTATAAAGTGGTATTTTTTTATAAATTCAATTTTGTTGGAAATATGAATTTGTTTGGGTAAAAATTATTTTTAATTTAAACTTTCTAATTTACGAAGTGCTGAACATGAAAATTATCTAGATTGCATTAACAAAATTATTCAAATTGTATTATTTATTTACCCTGAAATTAATAGTCAACTTGATCTAAATATATTCCCAAAAAAATATTTAATCAAAAGGAGCTAAATCATAATCAAACTGTTGTTCTAATTTGATCTCCCTGAGACTGAATGAGTCTAGGTCACCTAAGCTTGCCTACCTGACTGACTAATAACTATTATATATGCCTGAAAGGTCTCTCTATCTAAAGCTAACAAGATTAGCCGCTTTGAGTGAGGAAATTTAGTCGATATCGCGCACCTCCGTCATTTGTCTGATCCAAATATTTACGATAAGTCACTTTCTGAAAATTAATTGCACGGTATCAGATGGCCGAAGCAATAAATAATACAAATCTGCGCGCAGTTAAAATAATTGCCGGCTACCACTTGTGCGAAATGTTGTTGCCAAACGCTTTGCTCGCCCGGTGGCCTATGCGTCAGTATGCTGCGTCTGATGGATGGCGAGGAAGATTAGGCCCAAATTGCGCCACGTTTGGACAGGGTGATAGTAATGAATCGCATTTATCAAAAGACACAGCCAACCAAAGCCAGAGAATTTGCTTTTATGCGATCCAGTTGAGTTGCTGGATGACTCACTTTTGTCAGTACGTGTTGCTATTTTGCTACTTTCCAGGGAGTGGTTTTTTTATTGTATAGTTTCCACACTCTCCACTTAAACCCTCTGAAATTTATTTAGCCTGTTAATTATAGGGAAATTATTAAATGTATTAAAAATCGGCCTTTCCTCGATGAAAATTAAAGTTGTAAAAATATTTCTAACAATAATTGTCACAATGTAAAGAATTTCTGAGGAAAAAATTAATTATTTGATGAAAACACTTTTTATAAAATTAATTTACGTACTAATTTTTGTCAAAATAATTTCACAGCTCATAATGCAGCCCGCAGCCAGAACATGTAGAGCAAGATATTGTTTTTTTTTTCTTATTAAGCAATAATCAACTCACGAAACCCATCAGGGAAAAACCGACTTTGAATTCAAATCACTATTAAATTTCAGTTGCTTATTATCAAATTTATTATAATTACTTTGCTTTTTTTTAAAAAAAATCCTTATTTTATCATAATTTTCTTATTGAATAAAATGTTTATTTGATCTATTTTTTCTATAATGCCATTTGTGATTTCTCCTGAAACGAGCTGAGCCATTGAAATCAATCATGATTGGCACAGCTTGATTTCAGTCACTCACCCACAATTCAGGCCATTTATTCTCGTTTTCAGTTCAAACTGCACGCCTTTCCATCAATCCACAGCAGATTTAATCGCAAGGCCACTTAGCTGCTGCGTCAATTATTTTTTTATCAGAAAAATGCGATCGCCGCACCAAAATTTTGCCCCTTACGAGAGTGAACGTCTGGTATATGTAATTGGAGAACCACGAATACGCCCGGCTGAGATCAAACAAGAGCATTTTACCGCACATTCATGTCTTCATTTATTTTAAAACTGCCTCAAGGACGGCCCCATTGATACATTGGGCTGAAATTAATTAACCTCGAAAAGCGCAACTTTCAAATTTAAATGCAGCAATTACACCGCCCGTGTGTCGCACGTATACAATCACAATTTTCTTCTTATCCGCAGAGTTCATTCAAATTAACTCCGCGCGCAATTATTATGCTTATGCACGATTATTATTATTTAATAATTTAGTAGGTCACTGCATGTGCGCGTTTGTTTTGTTTCGCCGACAAAAGCGTAGGTTTGCAGAGATGTTTGATATGTTCGCGGTGACGCATATAAAATATTAATTTGGAAGTCGAGCCGATTTCTGCGCAACACTCGAAATTTCTCCAGCGCAAGCCTCTGCCCAATTTGCACAGCCAATCTGGAGCAAACGCGTAATTCTCAAGATCGCGACTGGACTCACGTGAACCAGCTTTGCCTCCGGTCATCTCACCCTACATAAAACCGGCGTTTAGCCTCGTCAAGGCCGCCCAAATGGAATTCTCGCTGCATATTATTAGCACTCGGTGAATGAGCTTGTTTTTAAGAAAATTACTTTTTGGGAAGTTTATATATTTAGCAATTGATTGACCTTCTCTGCTCACGACTTTGCTACTTTGATCTGGCAATGTTATTATGGATGAAATGGTGACTTTTGAGGTTAAATATTTATATCGTTTGTTGTAACTACCAAGCATCTGTAAACATATTTCTGAGAAAGGGTAACAGTTTTGAGGAATTAATTATAATTTTTTGATGAAAGATGATGCGGGGTTAAGATATAAATTAGATTAAATTTACATTCTGTAGTTAATTAATTAAAAGAATAATAATAGATTTAAACAACTTAAAATATTTGTAAAAATTTTATTTTTCAACATGAATATTAAAATATTTGGTCAGTAAATTGTTTATTTATTATACATTCGAATAATAAATCTTATCAAATTATGGAAAATTTTCAAAAATAAAATTACAACATTTAAAGATAAAATTCATTTTTGCAAATTTTTTAAATTACTTAACTCATCATTTGAGTATTGCGAATTGAAATGAAAACTAAAAATTTCACATGTAAATAAGTTGCATAAGAATTTCTTCTAAGAGGAAACGTTTTCATAATTCAGAGCAGGAAAGTGATAGGATCATTTCGAAATTTGCAAAACTCTCGTGTGACACAGTAAGATGAAATCGAACAACCAACACAATAATTTGCTTCCAATTTTAACAAGTTGATAAATGAAAACACACCCAGGTATAATTATAATCCTCGCGTTATGTCAATAAGTTTTAATTTGCATACATGGTGGTGTCCGGTCGGTGCGCCAAAGCGCCTCGAGGGTCCATTGAGTTGTTTGCTTGCAGGCAATTTGTATATCGAAACGACCGCTCTGAATATAATAAATAAAAGCTGGCATTGGTAATGATGGAAAAGAAGTTTGCGCGCACAATCATTACTTACGTGTATTGCAATTCAGCCGGCGGCGAATATTCGACTTCTTTTATGTAATTTTGCATGCACTTAAAGCACAGAGATTACTTTTTCTTTCACATGTAGGTGTGTCCCAAGAAGGAAATATATATAATAGGCGTGAAAGAAAATAATAATAATCGCCACCTTATTTCTGAGTCGGAATTTAGCTTCTGGTGAAACTTCTGTCCGACGCGAAAATTGCATCATTTCAATAAAGAGTTTGGTTGATGTTCTTTGCTTCCTTATTTCGGCTCAGTATTAATGAGATTTTACGAGCTTCACACATCCCGCATGCGTAAAAATGTCGAATGCTAATGAGCCCAAATCTTCTCTAGCAACAGACGATTGCATATAATTTTATCATAGAGAAGTTTGCTTTGGCTATGGAAGCGATTTCCAACCGTGAAATCCCAGTTGTGCAAGCGATCGTGAGGATCTATCCGATTACAGGAAAGTTGTAGAACCAATAATAACTAGTTCAGAATTCAGTACAGGCTAATTTGTCCTTTCCTTCCTCGACCGTGGGTTTTCCTTCTCGGCAGCCTTTGAAGACCAGTTTTGAAAAACGCATGATAATGAGGTGCAAAAACTACTGCGAAACGAAATGTTGTTCTTATTGTTAAATGTGTGCAAAAAGTGAATTTAATGTTTAATAAGGAATTTTAGAGTGAAATAAATTCCACGAAAAGTGTGAAAGTATTTGTCACTTTTATGGAATAAGAATTTTGTTTAAAAAAATATTATCTCATACTGTATCTGAATTTTAATTACCTTCACTTTTATTTGCATTAATTTTATCAGAAAAAGATTTCCATTGAGAAAAAAAGCTTATTAAAAATCAAATATGCTTTTTCTCCATTCCATTGATACATATCAGATCAAAATTAAAATAATCTTTCCATTTGAAATAAAAAAATGAAGACAAAAGGCGACACTATGATTTTTTTGAGTAAATTTTTAAAAGATATCTATATAAAAATATTAATTAATTTATATTACAAAAAAAGATTGTAAATTTAAGAAATTAAATAAAAAATTAATTACTTAAATTTATGTAAAGTTTTGTTAAAAAATTAATAAAATAAAAATTACACAAAAACACGCTCGCAATAACAAATTAACAAGAGTGCAAATTGAGTGCATTGATAAATAAACGGGAAAAATCTCTGACCAAATACATCATTTTGATATTAAAAAAGGAACAAAACAATCCGTGATTTACAAACTTATTTTTATTTATAATGCGACCACTATTTTTATTCTTAATCTCTACGTCCAATTTTATTTTATCAAAACAAGAACAGTTTTGCGTGCAGTAATAATTCACTTTCGTTAGCAGGAGCGTTCTTGTTAGAAGCAAAATAATATAGAATGGGTGTTGCTCCGAAACGATACTTTTGTGCGGCGCACGCCGACCGAATTCTCGTAATTATCACAAATGCCAAGGCAATCAGCTCGTAAAAAAAAATTACATACTCTATATCATCCCGGTCGAGCGCGAAGATGACATTTAATCCAACCAATTGCGTGCAAATCGCACTCCGAAAAACGCAAATATCTTTACCGACCCCATTAATCACGCAGCCCAAGTGGCGCGTGCTGTGAATTATCGTCGCACCAACCGCAAAAGAAAAAAATCGGCGGCCACAAAGTGCATTAATGTATCGGGTAGAACTTGACAGTGACTCACAAGGCTGCGAATAATTATTCTTTCACAACGCAAAATTCCTTTCGAATCAGACGCGGTGCAGGAAACGGCGATAAAAAATTTACGAGAAATTATATATGTCTGACCTACAATAGAAATTTAATTTGAAGAGAGTGAAGGTAAAAGACAATCGGATGAAAATAATTAGCCTCATCAAACACAGGAATTTTTGAGATTCGTCTTTTGTTTTGTATATATGTAGACGTGGGAATTTCGTGTATTATTGCAACAAATTGAATTGGACCCGCTCCACAAGCTCATGCAACTCGTCTGACTGACCTTCTGGTAGAGGTGACGATACGTGAACCATTTCTTCCAGGCGACTCTCTCATTCAGCAGCTGCAGGTGCGAGCGAACCGACGAAAAAATTGACAGCCGTTTCGCAAGTCGCAAAGCTGCGTCCATTAAAACAATCAACCATATTTCTCGAGTCACGGTCACGCCGCTTCCTAGGAGGCTCCCTTCGCACGATCGCTGCTCTAATAGTCAGTTGGCCAACTTGCTGGAAATTAATTTTCGGCCGCATCAGTTTAATTGTTGACGCGTAATTAGCCGATCGTGCTGTCGAAAAGTGTGAGTGGCTAAATGCTCGAAGATGGCAAAATAATTGAATTCATCTTCATTGCGCATAAAACCACCGCGGGCAATTTTCTAATTGTGAGAAGAAGAAAACATTTCTCTCAAGTTAGACATAATTATCTTTTTGCTGACAGTTTCTAATTAATTTTATATAATGAGGAATTAACTTTTGAAATCAAAACTATTTAATTAGTATTCGAGATTCAATTTTTGTTAATAATATATTCTGAAAAAAAATTGACTTTAGAAAATTTGTTAGTTCTTGAGGTTTGTTGGCACTTGAGGATGATCATGTAAGTGAAGAAAACTGGCTTTGTCCTCAATAAAAGAATTTGCTGTTTTTATTATTTTTTTTTTTGTATTTTTTTGATTAACAAAAAACAAATTTTCTGCACTTCATGGCTAAAGAAAAATTTTAAAAGTATTTATATTATTTGTTTAAATTTGGAAAATTCTTTTGGCGAAGTCAATTTGTTTTTAAATATTTAATTAACATCGAAAACGAGATCCTGTTTTTGTTTGCTACAATAAAATATTGTTTATTCTTGGATCAAATGTTTTTATTCGTCTATAATACTTCCTCATAAAACTTGATCAACAGGATATCAATAACTCTGAAATCATTTATTTCTCCCTTGATCTTTAACACCCGCTCAACAAAATCGTGCAACTCCTTGAAAACTTCATTAGTTTTGTCCCATTGAAATCAAATAATTTGATCTTTTTCTCATTCATTGTGAGGAGACGTGTGGCCGAATCGCTTAATTACGTCAGTCCCGGCGTATCTGAACCGCCGATCAAGAGCAAACCCACGCAGGGCATAGGTGTGTGTGTGCATTATCTAATACTGCCAATTCACGGCCGCCCTGTTGCAATATCACATAATTAAGTGTACCTTGAAAATATTGTTGTTGTTTTGCCGCCGAAGAAATCCGAATTTGTCCTAGATATGAAAAAACGCATACGGTGCATTAAAAAAGCTACGAACGATCGTCCAGCCGCGCGGAAGACGGAGGAGGTGGTTCGCTCGTTGAATTCTCGGCGGCCGCAGAGAAGGGTTCCGCGAGGAGGGGTTTCATCTCGGCGGCTGCATATAAAAGGAGATCTCACCTTCTGCAACTCACACTCAACCTCAAGTGCTCAACAATGGCTTTCAAGGTACGCATCGATCCAGTCGAGTCCCTTTTTCGAGTCCGAAAAAAAGTCCCTCCAGTTCTAATCATTTCTTCGTTAACAGTTCGTCGCCCTCCTCGCCCTCGTGGCCGTTGCCCGTGCCGGAGTCGTCTCTCCCCTCGGCTACGCCACCCCCGCCGTGGCCACCTACGCCGCCGCCCCCGCCTACGCGCACGCTCCCGCCTACGCCGCGTACGCCGCCCCCGCCTACGCTAAGGTCGCCGCTCCTCTGGCCTACGCCGCCCCCGTCGCCCACGCCGCTTATGCCGCCCCCGTCGCCAAGGCCATCGTCGCCACCCCCGCCCTCGCCAAGGTCGCCGTCCCCGCCGAATACGACGCTCACCCTCAGTACAGGTAAATTCAAATAATTACAATTTTTGTCAATTTTATTTATTAAATTTTTTTACTTGAATCGCAGCTACGCTTACTCCGTTGCCGATGCCCTGACCGGAGACAACAAGGAGCAGCACGAGACCCGCGACGGCGATGTTGTCCGTGGATCTTACTCTCTGATCGAGGCTGACGGCACCCGCCGCACCGTCGACTACACCGCCGACCCCATCAACGGATTCAACGCCGTCGTCCACAAGGAGGCCGCCGTCCAGAAGGCTGTTGTTGCCGCCCCCGCCTACGCTAAGGTCGCCGCTCCCCTGGCTTATGCCGCCCCCGTCGCCCACGCCGCTTATGCTGCCCCCATCGCCCACGCTGCCTACGCCGCCCCCATCGCCCACGCCACCTATGCTGCTCCCCTCGCCCACGCCTACGCCGCCCCCGTCGCCAAGGCTTACCTCGGTTAAGTCTTCGATCGACCGGATCAAAAAGCAGCCTCTAAGTCCTTTCCTCTGAAATGTTTGGGCCTCACTCGGGCCTCGAACGATGTTTTTATTAATTTATTTGTCTTCACCAATGATGCATTTTATACTCATTGACGTATAATGTGATAAAAACCGATCCATTCTCATCCAAATAAAAAATAAGAAAATCTTTTCAATACATCTTGATCTTTCAATTAAAGAAACCCGAGCTATTTTTAATTATTAATAATTGCACGATAATAATTGTCAGGAACATTGTTTGGAGAGCCACTCAGATTCTTCAATAATTATTTATCGCCATAAATATAAATCTATGTGGAAAATTCTTCAGAGTGGCGTGGCCGTGGCACGAAATCTGAATTGAAGCGTTTTTTGTGTAAGAGATGGATCGCGATTTTGAACCAAGCCTGTGTATTTTTCTCAGTGCTCCAAATACATATGCAAATATAAGCGTAATTTTGGCAGGTTTTGGCAGATGAAAGTGAATTATAAATTAAAATCGTCTTGTTTGAATGCACGAAAGAAGTTGCAAAATTTTCATGTGCATTTTAAATCAACTTCATTTAAAAATATCCTACGCAATTCCATAAAATTTATCATGTGCTTTATAATATTCATTGCTCTATCGAGTCTGCTCATTATGTCTGGGTGGCATTATTAGTGAAAAATGCATGTCGATAATGGAAGCGACAGATTTATTCAATTTCCAGAGCAATTTCTGTGTCGTATTTTAGAAAGCTCTGCATAATACCGTCATGAATAAACGTGGACCACGCCTTCATTATAATACGCCGGTGATTCCACGCACCTCTCAGGTTGCACTACGCTCGCTACTACACACCTTCTCATTGTTGCGTAATCGGCGATGCTAGGTTTGTTTGGCCAGTGCAGAGCGCGCACAGGTGGTGATTGAAATCATTACCGCGCTGTCACAACGACGCGCGTATTTGTACATCATTTGTTTCTATTAATTAGCCGCGCTGCGAGACGCGAGCCGCCGCGCTCTTCCCGCGGTTACGACTTCCCGCTGGTATCGCGTGTCAGTCCAAACGAGTCAAAGAACTTGAGATGCATAAACATTGCGACAACAAAAGATTTGAATCGATTTTATTTAAAATAACACAATTTTACACAATGAACAAGATAATTTTATGATTCAATAAAATTTACTATAGATGTTATTTTATTTTAAATTCAGTAAAATTATTTTTTTAACATTTTCCTTTGATTACTATGGAATGGAAAGTTCATTTTTATTATAAATCGAAAAAGTTAAAACTGCGATGAAAAATAAATAATATCAAATCATTTATAATAAATATAATAACATTAAAATTTAAATTATATTTATGTGAAACGAACATTTTTAATATCTCCGGCTTCCATGGCCCATGAAAATAAAATCAATAAATTTATGACATTATTTTGTTTAGAGCATTTGCCTTAAAAGATAAGTTTTGATCATAAACAATTTAAGAAAAGACTAAACGTTCTTAAAATTATTAATTGTTGCAATTTAACTATTTTTGTGTTTTTTAGCCTGTCCCATTTGTAATGATACAATTAATTATAAATTATTTTCGTTGAAAATATTCCCTCAGAATTTTTAGTGTTGGCACGATTCAAACAAATGGTCTTAAAATAAAGACCTTTTTACAATATAAGCCGATTTCACCAACATTAAAATTATATACTAGAGATCCTTTTATAATAACCAGCAACCATAAGTGAATGTCCAAGATCAAGAGATATAATTATTCGTCCGATCATTTTATGGCCACAATTAGTAGTCATATTGAAACTGTCTCGATTGCGCTGCTTTCCTAGCTAACAATGGCTCATCGCACTTTCTCGCCACTTGGCTCATCCTCTCAAAATGAACATGCGTCGGCGTGCATCTCAATTATGCTTGCATTATCCGCGATGGACATGTGGACTAGTGTTGACACACGAGGTGTCGTCCGCGTCGCCGCCAGGTATAAAACCGCAGCTGCCCCAGGGCAAAGTATCAGTTGCTTCTGAACAGCAAGGATCCTCCTTCAAGCAAACAATGGCCCGCATTAGCGTAAGTGTCTGATTTGAAATGTTAAATGGGACTTCCATTCAAATTTAAACTTCAGATGGACACAAATTAACTAAAATACCTGAAATCTTGAATATTCTATCCCAAATTCCTTATCAGAAAATCTTTGTGAAATGTTTTCTAATGATAGGAGAGCCTTTTTAATGCTTAATATTGAAATTCATTTCTTTGGTACTGTTAAAATAATTTCTTCTTAAATTATTCGAGCTTATTCTGGCTGCTGTATAAAATCAAACAAAGATCAATAGTTTCTCTCAAATTTTATTAATTTTTCAAAGCCAGATTTTTAGGGCTTCGAATAAAATTAAAAATGAAATAATTCCATTAATCTCTTCACGTTCAAATAATGTTATAAAAATTCAAATTTATTTCTGTCCTCTGAAGCAAAATCAGTTTTTTTTTTCTTTGATCTAAAAAAAAATTTGAATTTCAGGCCTTTATCGCCGTTTTCGGCACCCTGATCGCCAGCATGTCTGCTGCGATCGCCCCCGCAGCTCTACCTTACGCCGCTCTGCACGCAGCCGCCCCCTTGGCCTACTCGGCTCCCTTCTCCCCCTACGCTCCCCTCGCCTACTCCTCTCCCCTGGTGGCGAAAGCCGCAGTCGCCGCTCCCGTCGCCTACTCAGCCTACCCCTCCGCCTACACCTACCCCACCGCCTACGCCTCCCCGTACGCTTACGCTGCCGCCCCTGCTGTGGCTCCTCTGGCATACACCGCCCCCGCTGTGGCCGCTCCTCTTGTGGCTAGGACCGCCGTCGCTCCCGCTGCTCCCGTCGCCTACTCTGCTCCCGTGGTTGCGAGCGCCGCCGCCGTCGCTCCCGTCGTGGCCAAGGCCGCCGCCGTCGCCGCCGCTCCCGTCGCCTACAGCGCTCCCGTCGTGGCCGCCCGCACCGAGGAACTCGACGCCCCTCCCCAGTACTCCTTCGGCTACTCCGTGTCCGACGCCATCACCGGCGACTCCAAGGCCCAGGAGGAATCCCGCGACGGCGACGTCGTCCGCGGCTCCTACTCCCTGATCGAGCCCGACGGTGCCCGCCGCACCGTCAACTACTACGCCGACCCCATCAACGGATTCAACGCCGTCGTTCAGCGCGACGTCCCCGTCGTTGCCGCCGCTCCCGTCGTTGCTCCCGCCAAGGTTGTCGCCGTCTAAACGAACTCCTTCTTCCCTCTCATCATCCTGTATAAAAATCTTTGCAATTGGATTTCTCATCAATCCTGCCGCTTGAGCTTGGCGTAATTTATGTAGAGGGCCTGCCTCTATGGACCAGATTGTTTTGTACCTTTTATTTTTTTATTTGTAATAAAAAACAAACTTTCAATGAAATCATCACGATTTTGATTTCCTTTTGGGTGTTGAAATAATTACGAAAAAAAAATCAGATCAACTTGAAAGAGAAAGTCGAGCGCAAAGAACATCAATATTTGGCAGCGGCTTCTCGAATTGATGGCACAACTCGCAATGTCACAAACGCACTTCAATATGTACGTGACCAATGGGTCTCTATCAAAAAGGAGAAAGCGATCAGTCTTGATGAGCTAAAATAAAATAAAAAATGGATCGCGGGCAGACGAGATCTGCAGGAAGCGCATCTCTAATTAGGTGGCCATAAATTAGATTATGCTAAGTATGCGCACTTGCTTATTGGGGCAGCGCGCGTTACATCACGAGTGCTGCTCATTGCTCGCTACTTTCGCTTTCTGCTGGACAGACACACTCTTAATTGTGCCAAAACACGTACGCCTTCGGAATCAAATTGCGCACACTCTAGTTCGTCTAAACTAGTTTCGGGTCGCATGCTGCAGAATTAATAATACGTAAATCGAACTTAATGTTTTTCTGGTAAAACGAGAGAGCCAGCCGGGTCGAATTAAACTTTTTATTCGCGCAATTTGCTTTCACCCATTTGCATTTAATTTTACGCTCATCCGCCGCTTTCTTGGTTTTTGTTGCAGGGAACAGCCAAACGAGCACTGGAAATTGTCCAACCAAGAAAATGTGTCTCGCATGCGGCTCAAGCTCACGCCGAATCTGGCGTTTGATCAGCACACCGAGGCCAGCAATTTGCGCGACAATACAGGTAAAAATAATGTCTCGAAAATAAAAAATTTCAGATTAATAAAAATTTTATGACAATAAAAATAAATCTGCCTCTACAAATTTAATGTTTAATGTAATTCTTTCTTCTGAATTTTTGCACATTTTTCTATAGCAATTTTCTTCGATTTACTTCTACTAACTATTGCATCGATTTCTTTTGTCAATTTCATAACCTCAGCAAAACGTATGAGCGTCGGTATGTAAATGACGAGTTGCCAAACTTTTGCATGTTCTAGTTAATTATTATTCAGTGGAATGGTTTCTGCTAACTTTCCAACAGATTTACAATAATTAGTCTCGCATTAATTTTTTTTACTTCCTGTAATTCATCACCCAATCATCTCCATAATTAGGCACTCGTTATGCAAAAACAAACACACTTAATTCAACCAGGAACAAAAATATTCGCATGTCCGTGTTTTTTTTTTTTTGTCATTTTTAACAATTTAAAAATAAATTTTGCATTAATGAAACCGAAATTCAGGGTGGATGAGCCGCGGAACGGAAGACAATGATCTGGCCGGTTTGACCAGCTTGAGCGCTGCTCTGCCGCAGCAGGTGGACGAAGATTCGTTGCCCGAGGAGGAGTGGCGCCGAATCACCGCCGAGGCCGAGTAATTAATTTTTATATTGACCGCGCTCGATCAATTAATTAATGTGGGACAATTTTGAAATTCAGGAGCGACCTGACGGACAATCTCGGTGGGAAAGAGAAACTGCTGCTTTCGCAAGAATGCGAACTCGTGACCTTGATGTCAAGGGTCAAGGGCAGGCTGGATGTGACCAACACGCACGTCTCATTCAATGATCTCAGCCCTGCCAAGGAGGACGCAGAACGATTTGATTTCAAAGTAAGACTTACAGAAAATCGCAGAAAATCTTGTTTTTCAACGAATTAAAAATATAACAGAAAAAAATTATTAAAATAGTCATTAATTCAATCATTGCTTAAATTAAAAAAATCTTATATATGCACAAAAAAAATTTATAATGTAGTAATATATTTTGAAAGTAATTAAAATAATTTTATTATTTCATTGAGCCATAAAAGATACGCGGCCTTTAAGGGAGTGCAAGAGGATTTTTTTCTTTTTTCAAGTTAAATTATCAAAATATTTATTAAATCATACATTATATCTATAAATATTGAAATAAAAAAAATTTAATTTTACCTCTGTATCTTCCGCTTTCCACATCATTAAAAAATATTTTCTATTTATTTTTATTAATTAAATCTTTATTCTTTATTTAGTGGGCTTTGTCAAAACTTCGGGAAATGCACTTGAGGCGTTACAACCTGAGAAGAAGCGCTCTAGAGTTTTTCCTGTGCGACTTCACAAACTACTTCATCAACTTCACTTCAAAGGTTTGTTATCTCATCAGCAAAAAAATATGAAATTTCCCACGGTCATTATCCTGATCAATGTTGCAGACGCGTTACAAGGTTTACTCGCAAATCCTGCGGCTGCGGCCTCCAAACCTGATCCACTCGAACGCTAGATCGCCCGCCGAGCTGCTGAAGGTGTCGAGTCTCACCCAGCGATGGGTCGGATGGGAAATCAGCAATTTCGATTACTTGATGCAGGTAATTTGGCGCGCATAAACATTCTCTGCGGTTATCATTTTGATTTGTTGCAGCTCAACACCATCGCGGGAAGGACATACAACGACCTTTCCCAGTACCCCGTCTTTCCGTGGATTGTGGCCGACTACACGTCGCCCACGCTCGATCTCACCGATCCCAACACCTTCCGTAATTTGTCCAAACCCATCGGGGTGGTGAACCCAAAAAACGAAGCTGAAGTGCGCACCAAATTCGACAACTTTGAAGATCCGAGTGGTGATAATTTAAAATTTTTTAACTGTTAAATCAATAACAATAAAAAAAATGCAATTGTTGAAGAAGAAAGAAAATATGTTATGACGTTAGAAATATATCAAATTAATTCTGATATCACATTTTCTTTTTTAATTGCTATTGATTGATTGCCAATTTTTTTTTTTTTTTTATAAGGGTCAGGCCAAGACAAAGTCTTGTCGGCCTGTGCCCTTTTTAGTGGCGCAGAAGGCGCCACTCAATTTTGTCTTTTTTTTTATTATTATTTTATTTTGGGTTTGTCTTTCTTAAAATCAAGCATCATTTATTTTCGCTGGCATAACTTTTATCACTGGCATAAACTTATTTTGAAATTGAAACAAGAAACACACGTTATTTTTCTATTGAAAACTTTTTAATGTTAATTTGGAATTATAATTTATCCTCATAGAAGTGTATTTTTTTTCCGCAGGCACAATAGCGAAATTTCACTACGGCACGCATTATTCAAATTCAGCCGGTGTTCTGCATTACTTGGTGAGAGTTGAGCCGTTCACCTCTTTGCATATTGAGCTGCAGAGCGGCAGGTATGCAAAATAATATCTTTTGTCTCCACAAATAGAAATTGTTTTCTGCCCCTTTTGTTAGGTTCGATGTTGCAGACCGGCAGTTTCACTCAATTCCACAAACGTGGAAACTTCTGATGGACAATCCCAACGATGTGAAAGAGTTGACCCCAGAGTTCTTCTACTTCCCAGAATTTCTCGAAAACCAAAACAAGTAATTCTATAAAATTAAGGTGGATTTATTTTTTAATAATAATAATTAAAGGTTTGACCTGGGCCTACTACAAGGTACTAAAGATAGGGTGACAGACGTCGTTCTTCCAGCGTGGGCTGAGAACGCAGAAGATTTTATTGAAAAGCACAGAAAAGCTTTGGTAATAATCATTAATAATGTTAATAAAGAGTTTTTATGTGAATAAAGAGATCGAGCTTTTCCTTGTTGAAATTTTTTATTCAAAAACAATTAAATGGAAGTAAAAAATTATCTCACTCATGAAATATGGTCGCAAACCGTTACCAAAACTGGTAGAGCCATTTGTTTTTGAATAAAAACAAATTTTTTCAACAAGTTAAAGCCCGATCTCTCCATGAGCATCTCCTGAAGTGTCAATTTTTGTTTTTATTCTTATTTAAATTTATAGGAATCTGAACATGTTTCCGCTCACATTCACGAGTGGATCGATCTCATCTTTGGCTGGAGGCAGCGAGGCCAGCCGGCCGTTGAAGCCCTCAACGTCTTTTATTACTGCAGCTACGAGGGTGCAGTCGATCTGGACGCGATTGCCGATCCCTTCGAAAGAGAGGCCGTCGAAGGAATGATTAACAACTTTGGGCAAACTCCCAGCCAGCTGATGCGAGAGCCTCATCCGCAGAGACTCTCCCTTTCGGACGCACTTTTGCGGCAAATCAAGGGAGAACTTCGAAAGCCCGACTTGACTGCCCATCTGGACAAACTCCGCTCTTGCGCTGTCGACGTAAGCAAAGAGCTTCAATTATTAAAATTAGATTTCTCCAATTTTTTTGCTTGCCAGGTTGCCACGGATAGAGATCCCATTGTTTTCATCTCAAGCCCGAGACCTCCACCGAGACCAGCGCAGAGATTGTTTTTGCCAGCAGGAACGCCCGATTGTGTGGTCACAGTTTCCAAATCGGGGGCTCTGGGTTTGCACTCTTGGGTGCCTCACGACCGCCACTCCAGCAGAGGATTCAGTCTGGACACCGATGGCTCAATCAACAACCCTAAGTGAGAATACAATTTGTATCAAAATTAATTATGATAAAAAAAATACTAAATCTTCACTCCAGTTGATGGAATTTTGGCTGATTAGTGAGATTTTTCAAATTCAGGCTTATTTTCATATTTTAATTTTTTTCCTCCGTCAGATCTAGGAGGAAAATTCCTGGTCCGTTCCATCCGAGTGTCCAGCTGAGCAGTCAGATGTTTGCCGTGTCCCACGACGCGCGACACCTGTTCAGCGGGGGCCACTGGGACAATGGCATCAGGGTCTTCAGCCTCACTCGGGGGCGCACCATGGCCGCTGCCATTCACCATTCAGACATAGTGACCTGTGTGGCCATCGACAGGTGTGGCTGGTACCTGATGACCGGCTCTCGGGACACAACCTGCGTCATCTGGGACGTGTCCGGACTCTCTGGCTTCTCCATCATCCCAACTTTGGCGCAGGTTTGATTTTAATCCCTTTTTATTTAATAAAAATAAAACAAATAGAACAAAATATAAATTATTTTTGGCTGTTTGTCGTATAATTTAATTAAATATATTTTCTTATGAAATTATTTTTAACTGAATTTATTTAATTTTGTATATTATTGTTAAATAAAATAGGAAATCATTTTTGATAAAATTTCTAGGTTGCTCCTCCGGCCACTGTTTCATCGTCCGTTCCAAATTCCGGAACCCCACCTGGAGGCGGCAGCCTCCTCATTCAACCAGTCCACACCCTCTATGGACACGATTTGCCCATCACATGCGTCAGCATTGTCACTGAACTGGACCTGGCCGTGTCTGGCTCCAGCGACGGCTCTGTCAACGTCTACACTGTTCACGAAGGCCACTTTTTGAGAACCCTTCAGCCGATCAATGCTCTCGACCTGGAGGTCACCTTCCTAGCCATCTCTGAGCAGGGCCACATTGCATTTTCAACAAATACCAAGGCAATTTTTCCAACTTTTTAAGAAAATATATATTAAAAGAATCTTTTTATGAACAGTCGGAGAGCCATGCTGTGCACGTCTACTCCATCAACGGCAAACTTCTCGGCTCGAAACCTTTCCCCGGCAGGGTCACTGGGCTGGCTATTGCTGGAGACATGCTTCTGGTCAGTGATGATGCTGGAATGCTAAATCTCGCCACTCTCCTCAAGTGAGTATTTCATTAAAATACAAAAATTAATTATCTTTTTTTTCATTTTCCAATTTAATAATTAAAATCTATAAAAAATTGCAGACTTCGGCCTACGTTTGATCTGCCCTTGCACGTTCCAATTCAGAGCGTTGTTGTGACTCAGGGCAATTCTCACTTGCTTGCCCCATTACGAGACGGTCGACTGATGGTCCTTGGGATTTCTGGCGCCGTCAACACCTGACGGAAGATGTGTCAGAGTTTAGACGACAAATCACAACTCGGCCGTAGTCTGTCAGTCAATTAGACAAAAAAAAATCATTTTGAATAATGTTCGATCTCTCCACAGTTTTAAATTGAACACCGTACAGAGTTGTCCTCTGTTTTTAAATGAATTTACGAATTTTTAATGTAGACCTGTAACAAAGTATTGCAAATCGTATTTTTAGAGGTTGAGATTTAGACACTGCCTTTATGTCACGAAAGCGTTTTGCTGGCAAAGTATACAAAATGTGTGAATGTACGAGTTTAAAATTATGCATTCCATTAAAAAGCATATTTTACGATGTTTGGTCTCACCGTGTCCTCTTTCCTAACTGCATTTTATTTTGCTTTATCATACAGTAAATTTATTTGTACTGACTTAATAGACTTTGTAACTCGATGTTGATACGGATAATAGAGAATGGAATATATCAATCTGTAGTTTTAGTTGTTGATCGATGTTCAAATCGGATGTTGCATAATCATTATATATTGTAAAGTGTAAATTGAGAATTTTAACCTGTTGCAGAGATGAAAATAAAAGTAAATGTATCAGTACAACTTAAGTATTTTTTTTTAATACTATTATTATTTTGTGGGTCGATTTGTAAGTAAATCACAAGAGGAATATTTTCTGTTGCCACTAAATTCCTAATATATTTGGTTTTTCACATCACATGGGTCAATGGGCGTAAAAAGTCCACATTAATTGTTAATTTGCAATTTTCACAATGAATTCACATTTTTGTTCTCTCCAAAATTAATGTTTGATTAAAGCAAACAAATTTAATTATTCAACAAAAACAGCTTATGTTAAAAATGACTTTAATCCATTATTTAACAAATCCGATTGGAATTAAGTAGACACGGAAATTTCAATTGATTTTAGCAGTAAACATCAGATTTACAAAATTTGTTCCTACGTTCTGATTTAGTTCAAGCAATTTTATTCCTTGTTTCTATAAATGCTTCCATAATTATTTTAAGAAACTACATTTTTAAAAGTTTTTTATTACCATTGATTAGATTAAAATATTTTAGCAGCTTCGACTTTAATACCTTGATTAAGTAACACAATTTTTTATTTATTATATCCGACTAACTACTTTTTGCATCTAAATTAATTGAATTATGTGGTTAAAATTGCTGTTGATTTTTGCTGCATCTTTTCCAGCATAAAATTTTTACTTTTACAGCTAAAACCGTGTATTATGGCATTTTAGAAGTATTGAGATTTTTTCAGTAGTGCCTTTCCCGAATGTCCTCCTCCACTGTCTATAAAAAATCTCCACACCTGTGAGCATTTTGCGTGTGTGTGTGTCTGTTTGCGTGTAAAACTTCATAGAAATCCGGTAGGTTTATCAATGAACCAGGCGCGATGATAAAAAATCTACTCTGGCCGCCGCCTATTAATTATTAAATCCTGCTCTTTACACTGCGCGGCGCTAAGTTTCGACTTATTACACTAATTATTTTTCACTCCCTTCGGATGATCTTTAACTATTTTTATATATGTTCGTCTTAAAACTCTCATTCAGTTGATTTTTTTTTTTTTCTTAAATGCATGCTTGTGTGTGTGGTTATTTTATATATATAATATTGAGTTGTTGTTTTTTTTTTCGAGTTGTCTGCTGTGTGTGGTGTAAAAATTTATGTATATCACAAGTTGGCGGTTCAGTTGACGGCCTCTCGCTGTTGAGCTGCGTTTTGCACGGCGGACGTCGCGCGGCACGATTCGCGCACCACCTCCAGGAACAGCTTGTCGGGCACGATGTCGTTGAAGAAGTCGGGGTCCATGTTGCCCAGGATCTCGACGTCGTCCATGAAAATGTTGGGCCGCTCCGAGCCACCCTTCTCCTTGTCCATCACCAGTTGGTACCTGCGCCGTTCGCCAAGAGAAAAGTGAAATATTGAACAACAGATCGATTTTTGCGTGTGTAATTTATTTTATTTGCGCGCAGAGAAAAATATTGTATAGATTTATTGCATCTTTATATCACTACTGTGTCTGCTTTTTTTCTAAAGAAATTATATCTGGAAGCTTTTTCTCGCTTTTATTACTTAGCGGATGATGGCATCCAGCGGTCGCCCTCTTCCAGAACCATCAGCGGAGTGTCTTTCTCCAACATGCCGAAATATTCCTCCTCGTCCACTTCAGTGCCGTCCTGCTCGAGACACACGCGGGCCACCGGCATCCCTAGAGCTTCAGAAGCTGCCAACATTCATTAATGGAGTTTAAAAAAAACCTTTTTACATAAGTTACATGGTTTTGTTTTACATAAAAATAAAAAGATTTAATTTACGTTGAATTGCGTTGAATTATTTTTTGGGACGAAATGCGTTGATACCTTACGTATAGGTTCATTAATTGTAAGTTTCATAAAATTCATTGCGCCCTATCAATTTTCTAAAGTAAATCCAAAAAAATATCTTTCATAGGAAGTGCTAAGATTTTACATTGAAATCAATATATATTTTATATTTCAATTTGACTTGTCAATTTGTAAATAATTAAAAGCAATTGAATAACTGAGCACAGACGGACAATATAAAAATTTCTTTCATAACATTCTTCATAGAGAAAATAATTTATAAATTTAATTTTAGTCATCGTTATAATAAAATTTATGTGTGGTCATTCATCTCCCAATACACTTTTAATGCATTTTAAAATATGAATATGCAAAAAAATTACAAGATAATAAATAAAATAAAATTAAATTAAATTGAATAAAATAAAAATGAATTATTAAATAATAATATATATTATTTAAATAATTAATTAATTATTTATTTTAATTTGACACACTCTTGGCAAGGGTCAACCAAATTGAATGAAATTTGGCCCAGTCCAATTCTTTCTGTTCTCACATACCCCGCCCCAAGTTGAAGATATCAATATGAGATTTACACCACTTGATCATCTTAGTTCCAAGGCAAGTTTCCTAAATTTTTATCAAAAAATTTTCAAAATTGCGGGTTTTATGGGACATTTTGAAAAAATCAAAAAACGCAATTATCTCGGCTTCTAGTGGTCGTAGAACAATTTTCCGGATATGGTTGAGCTCGTCTCAGCAAGTTCTACAACTTTTCTATAAAAAGCAAAATTGTAGGTCAAAGGTCAAGGTCAATTTTTTTGAGCGTAAATTTTCAAACTCAAAATTGAAAACCAGCCGACCATTTTAAATTAATTTTGAGATAGCCAAACGATTCCTCGTGAAATTTTACGTAATATATGTCAAAACTGCGATGAGGTTATTTTTTGTTAAATTTAAAAATAAATAAGAATATAAAAAAACATGGTTTTTTGCGACTACGAAGGCAGGGTCCACATTATAATCGCATTTAACTTCGTCCCTGATGATTTTAGGTAAATATTGATAATGACCAAAGTTGATCCCCACGTCAAGACCAATCGAATGATGTATAGGTCAATGACCTTTAGTGACCTTCAAATTTTCAAACTCAAAATTGAAAACCAGCCGACCATTTTAAATTAATTTTGAGATAGCCAAACGATTCCTCGTGAAATTTTACGTAATATATGTCAAAACTGCGATGAGGTTATTTTTTGTTAAATTTAAAAATAAATAAGAATATAAAAAAACATGGTTTTTTGCGACTACGAAGGCAGGGTCCACATTATAATCGCATTTAACTTCGTCCCTGATGATTTTAGGTAAATATTGATAATGACCAAAGTTGATCCCCACGTCAAGACCAATCGAATGATGTATAGGTCAATGACCTTTAGTGACCTTCAAATTTTCAAACTCAAAATTGAAAACCAGCCGACCATTTTAAATTAATTTTGAGATAACCAAACGATTCCTCGTGAAATTTTACGTAATATATGTCAAAACTGCGATGAGGTTATTTTTTGTTAAATTTAAAAATAAATAAGAATATTAAAAAACATGGTTTTTTGCAACTCGGAAGGCAGGGTCAACATTATAATCGCTTTTAACTACATCCCTGATGATTTTAGGTAAAAGGTGATCATGACCAAAGTTGATCCCCACGTCAAGACCAATCGAATGATGTATATGTCATTGACCTTTAATGACCTTCAGGTCAAAGGTCACCCAGGTCGGTGACCTGAGGTCACCTGACCTAGATGTATGATATGTTTTTGAAAAGGTCTTGTTAAGAAGATGATTTTGGTTACCATAATTTGGTCTTTACCTCGCCTACAAGCCGAATAATTGTACTTTTCAAATTCACTGCTCATATAATTGTGCATTTAATTAAACAAAAGTACAATCATTTGGTTTGTAGTACAGGTACAGACCAAAAAGTGGTAACCAAAATTATCTTCTCAACAGGACCTTTTCAAAAACATATCATAAATCTAGGTCAGGTGACCTCAGGTCACCGACCTGGGTGACCCTTGGCCTGAAGGTCACCAAAGGTCATTGACCCATACATCATTCGATTGTTCTTGACGTGGGGATTAACTTTGGTCATTATCTATTTTTACCTAAAATCATCAGGGACGAAGTTAAAAGCGATTATAATGTTGACCCTGCCTTCCGAGTTGCAAAAAACCATGTTTTTTTATATTCTTATTTATTTTTAAATTTAACAAAAAATAACCTCATCGCAGTTTTGACATATATTACGTAAAATTTCACGAGGAATCGTTTGGCTATCTCAAAATTAATTTAAAATGGTCGGCTGGTTTTCAATTTTGAGTTTGAAAATTTACGCTCAAAAAAATTGACCTTGACCTTTGACCTACAATTTTGCTTTTTATAGAAAAGTTGTAGAACTTGCTGAGACGAGCTCAACCATATCCGGAAAATTGTTCTACGACCACTAGAAGCCGAGATAATTGCGTTTTTTGATTTTTTCAAAATGTCCCATAAAACCCGCAATTTTGAAAATTTTTTGATAAAAATTTAGGAGACTTGCCTTGGAACTAAGATGATCAAGTGGTGCAAATCTCATATTGATATCTTCAACTTGGGGCGGGGTATGTGAGAACAGAAAGAATTGGACCCCATCATTTCGTTTCATGGTCCAGACAAATAGTTTAGAAGGATTTTGAAAAATTCTCAAAATTGCCTATTTTACAGGGGCTTAAAGTTGACGATTTTGAAGAAAGGAATTTTCAAAAATCTAAAATATCTCAGTTCCTGTTTGAGATAGCGCAAATGTTACTATTATCAAACTTGTAGGAAATTAGACGTCCTAAAACTCTGCCGTGGTAACCAAGGTCATAGGTCAAAGTTCAAGGTCACTTTTTCTGACCTCGGGTTTATAAGTCGATATCAAAGTACGACGGAAGTAAAATATTTTGATTTCAAAATAGCCTTTTTAATGCAAAAACAACTTTAAACGGCCATAACTTTTCTCCTGTTAGAGAGAGGACATAATGTGTAACGACAAAAATTGTTCCCCTTGACTTGTTCTTTCCGATCATGTATCACACATAATGACCAGGTCACAAAAGTCATTGACCCCGGTGACATTTATTAATAAATGACAAAATTTGCTGTATTTCCAAATGCGTCGTTATTATTTTGCAAGTGTTGTGCAAATTGTTGAGTCGCATATAAAGGGTAATCCATGCTATAGAAAGTTATGCAATGACGGAAGTTTTTCCTTCTCTAAAGGACAGCGCACTAGCTTCTGCACAATCAGCTCAACTAGTGCAATAAACCCAGATCGCACCAACTTTTGCGCGTCCAACGGGGTCGCGCACGTACTCGCGAACCCGCCTTTCCCGCAACCCAATAACCCACATTCGCGAGTGCACGTGGGGTGGGAACGAGATATCCACAGGTTCCCGTGGCACACTGACCGATTTTCGCGCACTACTTACCCCTGATAATCAGGTCGTTGAGCGAGGTGGCCTGGATTTTCTCCGACCTTTCCCTGGCACAGTCCCAAACCTTGAATTCCGACACGGGCAGGGCAGCGTCGTCGATCATTTTTGCCAGATGCAGTGGCCGCGGATTCTCTGCCAAATGGGAGAAAAGAAGAGGTTATAAAAAATTGTCACAGCGAGGGGCAGAAAAGGGTGAAAGTGTTGAAAGAGAGGAAAATAAGAATTATAACGTAAAAGAACCTTGTTCCATTCTATTTAAAACTGGAATATTTACAACAAAATATTTGAAATTCCAAGCTACAAATAATTTTATATGATGGTTATTTATATGACTTTGATATTATGAAAAAAATTTGTAAAGTAAATATCATTCACGTAATGAAAATATCTCGAGTTTTTTTTATTTATTTATCATTCATCATCGACAGTATGAATTAGAAAATAAATTATAAAATAAGTTACAGAGAAGATAAAATACATAAATTATCTTAAATTTAAAAACTGTTTCTATGACGCAACACTCGCAACACACACGTCGAGCAGGTTGCATAATCACAAAACAGTCAAGCTGTGTAAAGGTATATTTTTTTCGTAGAAAGTGGAACTAAATTAATTTTCCCGTTAATCAGATGGCGCGCAATTTTCCGCGCGCCTTCCAGAGAGGTCCATTCCTCGAATAAATGGAAGTTATTCAATTAGCGCCAGTTCCGCTAACAGAAATTCGAGCACTTTGCAAACAGACCATTTAGGCGCGCTTTCCTCTCACTTTCTCGCACATTATTCCTTCTGGAAATTACTCCTACTAATTAAACTGTCTAGACCCGCGAGTTCATTAAAGCAATTCCTATCTGACGTACGAAAACAGAGCCCGTGCGTGCGAGAGCTTCTCTGTGTAATTTTCACCCGCATTTTCCCTTTTATTATGCAATTACAAAATTCCTCGTCCCGCGAGACGTGACCCTTTTATGCCAAACACATACACTCTCATTTTCTCCTTTTACTACCCTGCCGGCAAAAATAGAACACATTTTACGGGGCATAATTTCGAGGCAAAAAAATGGGACGTATAATATGTGTGCGCTCCTTTTACGAGCGGCTCATCAAATATTTATTCGGAAGCCCCCGGAAACAAACAGTGCGAAAAATTCGGCTGCCTTTTGAAGGGAGGCTCTCGTGACGGCATGCGCAGTGACCCCGCCAGCCTATACGAGAGGCGAAAGGTGTCTCTCCGCCCGCGCCCAAATTCGCGGAAAAGTCGGACGGAAAATGTCGCAACTCGTCTTGCCACTCGCTCACGGAAAAATTGACCTAGTCGTAGAGTGAAATCAATTTTCCTTGGCTAGCGAGAGCGAGAGAGCGATTCTGAAAGAGAAAGTTCGGTGCTGCTACATAAGAGCAGCTCCAAGTTCATCGATCCTCGTCGCGCGAGCCGAGTTTGGCAAAAAACGGACTCGGAAATTCGCGATTATCGAATTGCACTCTTCGCAAAATTCAAAACCGACCGATCTGCGTGTAAATCCGAATCACTTTCAGAAGTTTTTAAGTCATGACCTCGACGGAAAAGCAAAATTTTGAACGTGAAAAATTTCCAAAACAAGAATTTGTTTAAAATTTTTACCCAAGAAGAGTTTGTGAAAATCATTTTCTTATTAAATGAAGATTTGATTTAAATACTTTGTCAGAGGTTCAGCTTCAACTTACTGTGTGACGGGGGTAGCTTTCGGTGAGAGTGACCCTGGAACAACCCGCTCCGTCGCTGGCCTGCAAGTGATGATCTGCGTGCTCCAGTTTCACCCACGGCGCCTCCTCGACAAATAATAAGGACACCGAGTCTGCGCCGTGGCTCGTTTGCGCCCCACGGCAGCAGCAACCCTTTGTGTGTGCGAAGGGGGTTGCATATTATCCATCCTTCCGTCGCCCCCTTTTCGGTTGCAAAAGTGGCTCCGACTCTTTATGCATTATACCTTCTCGTTTCGCCGCCGCCGCCGCCGTTTTGCACCTGTTGTTCGCCACTTTTCTCTGCTCGCCCACCTGTGCTAAATTGTGCACTATGAGCAACGTCCCTTTAAATTATAAGTGCCTTTTCAAAATTAAATGCAAGAGGAATCTTATTCTATAAAAGTAGACCATAATTGATCAATTTGATACGAGAAAACTCATAAAACGCATTTACAATTAATTAATCACGTTTTTTTTTTTATGTATTTATTTTTACAGCGATATTTAGCGAAACCATTTTTATATTTCATACAAAATTCCTAGATGAGGCATCAATTAATATTAATGTGGCAATATGTTGATTTCTTAAGTGAAATGAAATATTTGAAATATTTTAAAAGAATAAAAAATATTGGATGTTCATTATTAAGTTTAAAAATTTTAATTTCTTTTTAAATGCAAAAAAAATGAGGCTTTAGAAACAGAAAACTCTCTCCAGTTGTAAAAAATTTACGAATAATTAATTATCGTTTTTGAAACAAACTCTGCCTCGCTAGTAATAATAAAAAAATATTTCAAATTAAAAAAAATCTATTATTATTTGCTAGGAACTATAGGAACACTACAATGCATTACAAGTGCATTATTATATAAATAACTGTCATAATTGAGCAAAATTTGGTAAAATAATATTGCTCAAATGTTCGCAAATATTATTGAAATGATTCTTCCGGTTCCGGTTGTCATAATTTTTCAATATTATTTAATTAAATTTTTCATTCATTTTTAAATATTTATTAAAATATAGCTTAATATAATTAAAATATTTGTAATGACTTAGCAATATTATTTAAATCATTGTCATAATTTATCATATTATTTTTATTATTAAAATAATTAAATTTGTTATATTTTGTCAGAATTATTGAAATAATGGTGCCAAATTAGGACAATTATTTCAATAATTATGCCTGACTTTTAAAATAGATTTATTGCCAAAATATGTCATGTATTCAAATAATATTGACTAATTATCGCTAATTATGCAAGCATAAAGTATTGATAATTGATATGCAAAATTTTCGTCTATAGATCCAGAGCCAGGGCCACATTGAATGTTGTTTTCGTAGTTTTTACTGTAGCGAATTTATTCTTCGAGCGTGCCTCGTTCTGAACGCTCGAATTAATTGAATAATTAATGTTGAAAAATTCTGTGAGGTTATTGATTAATCACAACGTGCTGTTGCCGCATAAAAACTTCAAAACTTTCAGCACCAACCAATCAGAAGCTGCGAGATCGCTGCGACCAATCAGCGTTGAGCAGCGAGAAGTGAATCATGGTCGTCGTGATAATAAACCTCGCTCGCTAATTTTCAGCACAATTGGCCGCAATTAGTGGATATTTCGCGCTGCAGAACGTTTTGAATGATCCGTAAGTGATCCTGATACTCATTCTCGTTCAAAATCGTTTGGTTGCGTCCGTGACAAGTGCGAAATGCGGAAATTTCACGGTGTTTTAAAAGGGGTCTGTCTGCGTTGTGACGTCTTTTTTTCGCGTGCTCCATGGTCTTCCGTCGCTTTTACCGGCCGTCGTCGTGTTTATTTTTAGCAACCAACTCACCGAGATGAATTTGTTGCTTTTCGAGATGGGCATGTTCGCATTCCATCCCCTTGCCAGATAAGAATTTTGCTAAAAGATCCGGAAAATTATGATGCCAAGTGAAAGTGCAGATTTTACCAGAATGAAAAAGTCTAAGATTTTGCAATTCTCAGTCAGCAATCTTGATTCCTTTGATTGAAACATATCGTTGGCAGTCTAGACTCTAATTAATTACAGTGGTGAGCTCATTTCACCCTGATAATTGTGTCTCGCGGCGCTCTAAAGTGAATCATCAACTGCGACGCAAAAAAATTGCTATTTATTTATGAAGTAGAAATTTTATGACAAAATTTATTTATTTTCCACAGACAATGGTAAAGCCAAATGCAGGGAGTCTCTCAAGGACCGGCAGCAGCGTCGGGCAGGACAATTCTCGAGGAAGATCTTCCGGACCTCCGAGCTCGAACACTGACGATTTGTCTTTTGTCGTCATCGATTCCCAAAGCCCTCAAAGTCATGGGTCAAATGGATGTCCGTCCTCCTTGAATGGAAATTCCTTGATGCCATCAATGCCCAGTTTATCCAGTCCAAATAATGTAATTTTTTCTATACATATTTTAAAAGGAAATTATAAGGAAAACATTTTCAGAGCTTGGCCTCGAGTTTGCAATCAAATGCTGAGGAACTGAACATGCAACTGCAGGAAGTGCTGAAAGATAAGATTGAGCTGAGAGGTAATATTAATTTTTGAAAATACACGCTCAGTAAAAATACAAATTCCAGAAACTCTGAGGCAAAATAACCTGGCAATGAAGCAGCATTTTGCAACTGTGGAGACTTGGCAAGACGAGGTGCAGGGCGTCCTGCTCAGCCACAAAACCAAATTCGAGGAAATGAAATCCATCATTTTGAAGGTAATCGATTTTTCATAATTTTGAACTTATTCTACTAATTTGGCCTGCAGCTGAAAAATGAGAACAAAAGTTTGACGGCCAAGGTGGTGGATCAGCCTAAATTTGACGAAACTCTGAAGGAAAATGAAGATTTGAAAAACAAGTTGCACGACGTGGAAAGAAAACTGAGCAACCACCAAGCTCTGATGAAAGTGGGTAGTTTTTTTTCTGCCAAGACTTCAGTAAATGATTCTGCTTTAGGAAAATGCCTCCTTGAAAGATCACATCGCCGAGCTGGAGCAGAAAATTGCTGGGGGCATGTTGGCGACGGAGGCGCAGGAAAGGGCCGAGCTGAGGTTGAGAGAGTTGTCCGAAGAACGGGTGATGTGGTTGAGAGACAAGGAGGAGCTCCAGAATAGGGTCATTTTGCTGCAGGAAGAACTGACCTCGGTTCATGCCGATGGATTTGTTGTTTTAAACAGTGAGACGCAGAGGGAAACCAACCCTGAGGAGAAGAAAGTAATTTATTTATTAACATCACTCGAAACAAGATTAAGTGTAATTTTTTTCAATATTTAGCAACTTCTGGGTCCTCAGGAGAAGTTGAACAATTTCTACGCTGCCATGGACAAGTACGAGGAGAAATTGATGGCCTCTTACAAAACACTGGAAAGTCAAGTTGATAGGTAAAGTGAATTTTTAATTATTTTGTGAAATTGTGATAATATTGTTATAAAAGTTTTGCGGCCGTTTATAACTGGTTGGACGAAACGAGATCGAAATTGCCGTGCTCGTCGTCAAGTCTCTCTGAAGTAGGAACATTGATGGAAATGGTATCTCTGAGCTTGAGAGAGGCTCAGAATAGTAGTACGGGACACAGGTTGGGTTTTTATTTTTATAAACAGGATTTTTTTTTACCAAACTTCTGTTTCTCCATTTCCAGATTGAGATTGGAGGAAGCCAGTCAGCAGCTGGGAAGGCTGAGCAGTGATTTCCAAGGATTGCTGCAGGAATATTTGGCTCTGAGCAACGAACTGAAAAATGTATTGATTTTTGTTTTTACGGTTAAATTGATTTATAAACTATATTCCTCTCCAGAATAAGGACTTGTGCCAGCAGACGGTGCAATCAAACGAGCTGCAAGGAAAGGTCGATCATTTGTCGTCGCAGCTTTTGGATGCCAGGGAAAAACTGACACTGAAGGAGAAAAGTTTGACTCAGCTGAATGTGACCCTGGCCAAGAAGGAGGCAGAAATAACACATCTGGCGCTGGAGATGCAGAAAAAATCCAACGAGCCCTCTCAGGAGATGAAGGAGCAACTGGACCACATGACAGCGCAGATGTTCGAAATGAAGGACATTCTGGAGCAGAAGGACCGCAACTTGGAAAAGCAGAATTCGACTATTGCTGTGAAAGATGCTAAATTGGCTCAGATGGAACTGAGAGTTTCCCAGGCCGAGACGAAAGCCACACAAAAAGAGACGGAGGTGCTCACTATGCAGAAAAAACTGCAAAGTGTGGAGCAGAGTGCCGATGCCCTCAAAGCTCAAGTATGGGATAATTTATTAGATAAATTAGAAAAGACAATAAATGATTTGTTGTTGCCAAGTTATTGAATTAAAAAAGTTATTTCCAGATAAAATAATCTTCCATTTTCCCCAGGCTGAAGTTTACAAAATGGACTTCGACGAAGAGAGAGAATCAAGAGAAAAGCTGGCTGCAGATAAAGAAAAAATTGCAGACGAACTTCGAGCTGCTCAGCAGGAGAATCAGCGATTGACAGCTGAAATGCAAGCCCTTAAAAGCAGCCAAAGCCAGCCGAGCATAGTTCCTAGCGCTCCATCAGTCACTCCAAACACCAGGTCAGACTTCTTTGAAAATAATTTAATAAATTGGGAGCTAATTTTTGGTATTTCAGTACTTCAAGACCTCAGGCGCACAATTACAACACCATTGCCACGCCAGGAAGGTCCCGAGGAAGCTGGCTGACTGACAGTTTTGAAAGCGGTGACCAGCGGGAACAGCCCAAAGTGAGTTTTGAATTTTAAATTACTACAATTCTCATGTCATTTCATTTTAAACACGTACGACATTTCATTTTATTTATTTAGCCATTTGAGGAAGAAATTCCAGAGCCTAAAAGGTTCTTCTGTCCAAAATGTAACGCTGCATTTCGAGAGGTGGAACCACTTCAGTATCACGTTGAGACGTGTTTGGAGCTTTAAATTCATAGGCAATTACTTTGATAGCATTTCTATGGACTAGAGTTTTGATCCCTTTCTTGCATTCTCATTAAAAGCCTTTAATTTCCTGCATCAGAACTAATAAATTACCTTGATAATATTCACTAACTCGATTAGTATAAAATTACTAAAATACAATAGATTCATTAATTTTGCAGCATGATTTTTGTTTAACAATTTTTTTCTCTTCTTTTTTACGTAGACAGAAAAATAATGAGTTGCTCTTTTCATTCCAGTACGAGTGCCCATTTTGCAAACTTGTGTTCAAGAGTTTACACCCACTGGAGAACCATGTTGAATTCTGCGTCAATGTTGAAATGTTCCCGTAGTTGCACGCCCAGTCAAACTCGTGGTCGCGCGCTGCGGCAGAGAGCTGCAGTCGTGGCGCTAGTGTAGAGCCTGGCGGTGACGTCAGCCACGACCCTGGCCGCAAGCAGGCAGCATGCGTTATGATAGAAAGCATTGAGTTCGCGGGGTTTTTAATTTATTTGACAGGGTTTACGTCATTTATTTCAATTTGTAAGCCTTCAGGGGACTAGGCCCGACACCTGGGGACGGCCAGAACAAATAAACATATCAAAATAAACATTGCAACAGAGAAGAATGGCAATAATATCACGCGGCGGAGTGAACTTTGACGGCCGGCACTCAAACATTTGAATTTTCCGACTTCCTGAACAGCTAAAATGTCGTGAGGAATTTTTTTAAATAAACTGGAACATGTGTGGGTTGATTTGATAAGTCATTCAGCTGACATAAACGTCTCCAAAGCACTTAAAAAAATTCCTGAAATACGCGGCATCACACTACTAATTTATAAAATTTCAACTTTCGTGTCAGTTTATTCGTTGATAATTCGAATTCCTCAGTTTGACTTTATACGTTCCTGAAGCAAAATTTAATGCCGAGTTGAATGGTGCCATTTATTTTCCGATCCGTCGAGATGCTGAGGCGTAATCGGCCAAAATCTTTCAACATCTCGCAGCGTGACTCGCCGAGGCGACTCGCCCGCTTCGAGCTCGAATCGACCAAGTCTCGAGAGGGTGAGCGCGGCGTTGTTTTTTATAGAGTTTTACGCGAAGAATTAATAAGCACCTTTAGATTTGACAAAAATATTTCAAATTTTCAGCGATGATAGATAATTAAATCCTTGAAATTTTCGCGTAAAGTTTTATTAAAAATCTTGATACCGAGCAGAGTTATTGGTGTTTCCGCAAGACTTTTGTTTTTTTAGTTTTAAAAATTGAAAAACACTTAAAAATAAATAAACCTTTTAAGAAAAATGTAGCTAATTAAATTCTTTACATTTTCTTTCATAAGCGTGATGTAGTCAGATTTTTTTTTATTTCCGTACGGGGAGATGAAAGTAAAAATTTGTTTTTTTCACAAAGAAGAAAATTATTTTAATTTATTTTGAGATAGCCAATCGATAGGAAATTAATTTTTTACCCTAGGTACCAAATTTAATTAAAATATATCCAGCCGTTTTTAAACTAGAGAGAAATACATAATGCTACCAAAACTTGCCGACAAGGGCGAGTTGCGCTTTAAAGAATTTATGCTCTTATTTAAAAACAGCTGGATATATTTTAATTAAATTTGGTACCTAGGGTAAAAAATTAATTTCCAATCGATTGGCTATCTCAAAATAAATTAAAATAATTTTCTTCTTTGTGAAAAAAACAAATTTTGACTTTCATCTCCCCGTATGGAAATAAAAAAAAATCTGACTACATCACGCCTATGAAAGAAAATGTAAAGAATTTAATTAGCTACATTTTTCTTAAAAGGTTTATTTATTTTTAAGTGTTTTTCAGTTTTTAAAACTAAAAAAACAAAAGTCTTGCGGAAACACCAATAACTCTGCTCGGTATCAAGATTTTTAATAAAACTTTACGCGAAAATTTCAAGGATTTAATTATCTATCATCGCTGAAAATTTGAAATATTTTTGTCAACTCTAAAGGTGCTTATTAATTCTTCGCGTAAAACTCTATAAAAAACAACGCCGCGCTCACCCTCTCGAGACTTGGTCGATTCGAGCTCGAAGCGGGCGAGTCGCCTCGGCGAGTCACGCTGCGAGATGTTGAAAGATTTTGGCCGATTACGCCTCAGCATCTCGACGGATCGGAAAATAAATGGCACCATTCAACTCGGCATTAAATTTTGCTTCAGGAACGTATAAAGTCAAACTGAGGAATTCGAATTATCAACGAATAAACTGACACGAAAGTTGAAATTTTATAAATTAGTAGTGTGATGCCGCGTATTTCAGGAATTTTTTTAAGTGCTTTGGAGACGTTTATGTCAGCTGAATGACTTATCAAATCAACCCACACATGTTCCAGTTTATTTAAAAAAATTCCTCACGACATTTTAGCTGTTCAGGAAGTCGGAAAATTCAAATGTTTGAGTGCCGGCCGTCAAAGTTCACTCCGCCGCGTGATATTATTGCCATTCTTCTCTGTTGCAATGTTTATTTTGATATGTTTATTTGTTCTGGCCGTCCCCAGGTGTCGGGCCTAGTCCCCTGAAGGCTTACAAATTGAAATAAATGACGTAAACCCTGTCAAATAAATTAAAAACCCCGCGAACTCAATGCTTTCTATCATAACGCATGCTGCCTGCTTGCGGCCAGGGTCGTGGCTGACGTCACCGCCAGGCTCTACACTAGCGCCACGACTGCAGCTCTCTGCCGCAGCGCGCGACCACGAGTTTGACTGGGCGTGCGTAGTTGTGCTGGTGCCCAGATTTGACCACATAACCACTCAAGTCGTTAAAAACTGTTACTCCTCCTCCTATACATGAGTTGTGTTTTACTTACAAGATATTTTAATAGTGATGACTAGAAAGTAAGGTAAATAGTTAAGAGTTCAAAAGTCAGCAATACAAATCTTGCAATGTATAACATTAATTCTTTGATGCACAAATATTTCAGTTAATATTTGTGAAAATTTATATTTGCAGGTTATTAAATTTGTTCAAAGTATATATCTGTGCAATATAAGAAAATCAGGACTTCCCAATCTTGCCTGGACCTTATAAAGGATTTAAATGTGCATTGAGATTATGAGATTTTTAAAATTTGTACAAATTTATAGAATCCCCCTGATGTGTATGTTATATTTTGGTTTCAAATAATGTTTTTTATTAACTAAGCAAAAATTATGAAATTGTAAATGTTTTAGCAGTGCCATTATATCATTGGTGCCATTTTTTTAATGCAAAGGCACACTGTATTTTAGCCCAAGGGCGGAAAGACTATTAATAATTCACAGTCATTTAATTCAAACTAAAATATATGTTTAGGATAATGCGGGATAATCTTATGAATAACAATAAAAGAATAACGAAATTCCAAAGAAAATCCAGTCTCTTAATTAAAATTGCCCCAATTCATGTTAAATTTACACTAATCAGTAATCAGATTATTCTGGCTACTGCGTTCAACTCTTATTTGTTTAACACGTAATATGTTTTTTATATGATTTATATTACTATACTAAAATCAGTTAGATTTAAGCGCAAAATCGATTACGGAATTTCTTGAAAACTTTCAAACATTCGATTGTTTTGCCGCTAGTGTTCATAGTTGAATGATGACCAATGAGCGCTCGCAAAAAATTCTTCAACCAATGGGCGCGTTTGTTGTCTTCCCATGCATATCCATGTGCTTGAGTTGAAGTTTTGATAGCAAAATCTTTTTAACACATAGCCTTTTTTACAATTCCTCCTCTATATTTTTTGCTTCTTGAGTTTTTTGAATGGGTAAATCGCAATGAGCAACATTTTGGACAACACACCATTCACGTGCAAGTACGCAAAATCCATAATAAAAAACGCTTCATCATTATTAATTTTCAATCATTTTATCTCTGTTTAGAGTCAGCTCAGTGCAGAATAGAAATGCCAAGGAGTACGGAAAGAAGTTCATGTTTGACGGCCAGGAAGACACGTGCTGGAATTCAGATCAGGTAAAATTATCTTCATTCAAATGTAAAATTTTTTTATTTAATAAATAATTCATTAAGAAGGAAAAAAACCGGCACACAGTTAAAAATTTGAACCTTCTCCAGACGGCTTAGCGCTTCATAAAAACATCATCATGAGCCAACAAGGGAAGCCCCTGCAGGTCGTTGACCTCCCGCACCTGCCCGAGGACCACGGCGCCCTTGCTGGCCTTCAACTTCTGCCGCACGGCGAAGGCCACAGTCTGCTAGTGTGGGACAGCACCAGAGTATTTGTCTTCAACGTGCAAGACGTGGACGGCCTCAAGCACTGCCACCCGCAGATCGTCGCCTTCCCCGAGACAATGAGCGTCATCGAGAATGACCAGCTGGACATTCTCCTGCTCAACCAACGAGGAAACCTCAGTCTTTGGCGAGAGAAGATGAGTTCGGCCGAGGAGGATCTCTTCGAAGACATGGACACCGACAACGCTCCTGACCAGCCGACCGCCTTGACCTCGGGCGTCTTAGCCCTCAGCGACAGCAGCCACGCCAACTTGTCCTATGCACTGACCTGCAGAAACGACGAGCAGGTCAGGCTGGTGACCTTCACGATCGAGATGAACGCCTTTCAGGAGAGCACGAGTCTTGTGGTGGCACCGTCGGCCGTCCTGGACGCGTCCAAGACCTGCTCCATCACCTACACCTCGAGCAACTCGTGCTGTCCGCAACTTCTGTCCCGTCTGTGTCCGGGTGTGGACTTTGACGAACCCTGCGACGTGGTCATCGTCCTCCTGGGCACCAACACAATTTACTTCTGCCCTCTGGTGCGGTCTGTCGTGGAAAGGCAGGTGTACGAACTGCGTCCGACCGTCCACCCTGTCCGGCACACCATCTTCGCCAAGGAGGACAGCAGCGCCCTGCTGGTGTTTGCCGAAAACAACGTCCTGAGTGTGATGCAGGTTGAAGACGATTCCCTTGCGAAGACGGAGCAGCCGTGCGTCCGAAGCCAGGTCGTCTGCCAAGTGTCCGACGAGACCTTCTTCGTGGGGGACGTCCTCGGTGCGTCCAGCTTCACACTTGGCCAAGACCCCGAGGCGTTGATCCTCAAAGGCAGCATTGGTGCTGTGTTTCTGGACGAAAACGTGGCTCTGGTGCTGACCCTGCACGGCGCCCTCTGTCTGGTCAATTTGGCAGCCGCGCGCTCAGAGCAAGAGGGCTCGAGAAACCCTGAGGATTTGCTGGACAGACTGAGCAAAGTCAACAATGAGATTAAATTGGTCGAACAGGCCATCAAGGAGGAGAATTTGCTCTTGAAGGAAGCGTCCATGGTGTCATCGGCGTATCTATTGAAGGACACTTTCAAGCTGCAGGTCAAAGTGCACGACGGACCAGAGCTGGACGTTTACTTTTTCGACGTGTTGGTTGTGAACAACTCGAAACACGTTTTTCTGCAAGGTAGCTGATTTTTTCCTCTGTACAGCTCGATTAATTTTTTCAATTTAAATTAGATTGATTTTGCCATAGTTTAATTTTGATTTGTGCACAGAAAACTGGAACCTGGTGATTTCCCTCTCGACCAATGACACGGTTCAGTCGTTCAGTCAGTGTCTCGCCAAAACCCTGAAGGCCGGCGAGGCTGTAAAAGTCGTGGCCAAATTCTGCATCCGCGAATTCTTGTTCCCGATGAAAGTGTCCTGTCGGTTCGTGAAGCAACTCTGCGTCCCTTCCAGCTGTGACCTCTACTCTGTAGAACTTCGGTCCGGCGTCGCCAGCATCGACGTGTCCAGTGTCAACCTGGACTTCACCCACTTCATCACACCCATCTCTGTGGATCCGGTTCAGGAATACCGGGCCGGCTGGGGCGATTTGGAGGAGACAAAAGTGCACTCGCGAGATTGGAAAACCAGCGCCGGTTTCGAGGAAATCTGCAAGTCCCTGTCGAGGAACAGCGGCCATCGAGCCTTCGGCGCGGTTCGATCCAGCAACAAGGCGGCCTTCAGGTTCGGCCCCAGCAGGGTGGACCTGGTGCTGGACGAGGACAAACTCACCGTGTCTAGCACGAATTTCCCACTAATCTTCGATGTCATTTCCTTCCTCCAGTCCAACATGGATGCCGAAGAATGGGACTCGAAAGAATTGGTGTCCTTTGACCCCATGTTTTTTGCCAAGGCAGGAAACATTGGACAGGCACTTGACTATGCCCTTTTGACTGACACACTCGACGACGAGCTTGAGACTGACCTGCAGAATCGCCTGGAAAAACTGGTCGTGTCGCAATTTCCTTGTAAGAAGAAGAAATGAGTAGGTGCAGTGCCAATTTTTTTTATAAATTCAGGATTTGCGGCTCCAGAAAAAAAAATTCTCATATTTTCAGTAATTAGACCTATTTGGATATCATGCATGAAGAGAATTTCATTATTTGACAAAAAAAAGTATAAAAAGTTTAAATAAAATTTGTTATTTAACCTTTGCAATTATTTTTGTTCCAGGGATTGCCTCAGTGGGTTGACTTTGAATTCTCTGCAGACGTCCCTGTGATCAAACAAATAAGAATCCAGTTCCAGGGCGGGTTTGTCGGCCAGGACTGTCGATTTGAAGCGGGCGACCCCCTCAAGCTGTCTGAGAATTTTTACCCCGAAGACATAAACACCCCACAAACATTTACTCTGTCGAAGGCGGTGAGTGCCAAGCATGTGAGGATAGTTTTCCCCGCAAGCTCGGATTTCTTCGGCCGAATCATAATTTACAGTCTGGAACTGTTAACTTTGTGAAAAATTAATAAAAGATTTCCATTTTTTATAAAATACAATAGCCATTTTTTATTCGTAAAATTAAATAACACAATGATCACTTGGCTTCCATTTCATCATTCGTCGATCGTTGGCTATTCACAAATTATATGTCAAGAGAGTGATTTTTTCTTCTTCAATTCCATAAATACGTAGTAAGATCTTAGTATGCATTGTACTATTATTTTTTAAAACGTGGGCCCAAACGTGCGTCAAGCCCGTACACAATGAGTTTGCAACAATATTTTCGTGTTTATAATCTATGGTAATCTCAAATTCAATCGACCTCTTCCTACCAAGTACTTTATTTGACAATGATAATTTTTTTCTGCTAAGCTTTATTTTTATTAGTAAGCTTTTTGTATATCCAGTGGAAAACTGCCAGAAATGTTCTTTTTCAACATCAAGTGGTCCCAACTATCATTGGTGGAGCTTTTCATAGGGCGACAGAGGTCGAAGGTAGAGCAGAAGAGAAGTGGAGAGTTTTGCAAGAGGTTCCGAAAAGACTAAGCGCACAAAAATGAGGAGACCTGGGTGTTGATCAAGGGGAGACGCGTCTTGAGATGTTTGTCGAACAGTCAGTTTTTTTTTTAATTAAATTCACATCCAAAGAACAACACAAACTTTGGGTGGAGTACAAAATTATTTTTTTCTCGCAAGAAGTCTCCATTTGCATTTTATTGTCACCTCATTTTTAATTAATTTCCATTTAAAAGTAGATCTTGACTATTTTTTTTTGTAAATATCACTACAGCGTTTTAAGCTACTTCAGCTAAGTAATATAATTTTCGTATTCTTCGCTCTTCGTAAAAACCGCGTGACGGCAAATTCAAAATTAATAATTCTTGAATTTTGCCCCTCTTTCTGCAAACATCAAATCTTTTGTAGAGATCAATTAATCTTACTTAGCCTAACGTCTGAGATACGTGTGTAGCAATAGATGCGTGCTTGCTTTTGAGAAGAAAATATGCGTGTGTTATATTTTTTTTTGCCAATGCAATATAATTATTCAAATTTTTCGTCCAAGTTGCGCAAATGACGTGCGCGCCAAAATTGTTCAAGAAGGAGTCCTAGCGAATGTCTATATGATATTATTATTCCCAAGTTATCAGTTAACTTTTTATGGATGGATTTTTCAACAACTTTCGTCTAACAATTTAAATGGAGAGGAAAACCAAATTCACGCTTCACATTTCATGATTTCTTTTTTCAACTGTCAGTCTATAAAACGGAAATACTGGTTTGATCCTCTAAGTCAACAGAAATGAAAAAAAAACTGTCTCGATTATGGCACAATGTGTGAACACCAGGCTGAAAAGCTTTCCTATTCGATAAAAAAAACCTAGGTGCCTGCTTAAATCATGCCGAAGCCTTCCGTCCCTTCACTGATGGCCAGCAACAGTGCCTTCTCAAATTGTTCATAGCTTTCATAGTCCGGTAGGCAGAGTTGGTTGAAGCTATCAATTTGAAATTAGTCTCAAAGAATTTAAAAATTTACGAAAAACAATTCACCAAGTATGCGCTGTGGGAAGATTTCCGAAAGTGGGAGCAGCCGTGATTTGAAATCTGGGACTCAGCTCGGCAAACCCTCCAGGGGGGAGTTGGGAGCAGCCCGTGGTGAATTGAAGAAGTCTCGCCATCTCCTCCTGCGTGAAATTGGCCACGGCTGTCCAGAACCAGTCCAGTATGCGCCGGAACTCGGTCGAGCCTCCGTTGATGATATGATGCGCCCTAAAGTCTGCTATGCTGTATTCACCTGTGCCACACAGCAAAAGCTGCGGAGGAGAAAGTGAATTTCCTGCTATTATTATTTATTCCATCAAACCTCAAGCTCGTTTTCGTCGAATATACTGAGCAGGTTGTCAGGAATGAGTTCGTTGAGTCCCTTGAGAAACGCCTCCATCTCGTCTTTCACGTTATTGGCAAGTCGGTACTGAGCCAGGGCATCCAGATATTGGTGCTTTGAGGTGTTGGTGACATGGATTTTGGTTCCACCTGGCACCAGTTCCACAACCTAATGATATTTTGAGGAGAAAAACTGTTTATTAAATCTCATTATAACAGATAAATTGTATGAAATTGTTTTGTTCTTGCATTTTTTTTAAATTAAATAGTTAACTACCTTCAAAAGTTGGCCAAAGCGGTCATACTCCTCCTCCACAAAATAAAGATCCATGTCCTCCATGTCGTTGTCTAGGATGTACTTCACTTTTGTTAGGTACAAGTCTGGGTCGTCTTGCTCAAAATACTAAAAGCACAATTTTTTTAATTAAATAAATATTTTAAATAAATAATACCTTATAGTGAACTCTGAGACCAATGAGTTGAGCAAGAAAAGATCTTGTGAATCTGGCCCTCACGAGCTGTCGGTACGAACCGCCAAGTGCAGACTCGTACAGACACTTTCCGGCCAGCCTCCCAGCAAACTCGTAATATTTAAGTTTGACGCTTGCCGACCGCTGCCGGTTGGGATGCACCAGGGCCTGGTGGTTGTCAGAGAACCCGCAGAAGATCAAGTTTTTGGCATCAAAGAGGGCAGCGCAAGTGAGCTCGAACCACTCGCGCCGAACGCCACCCCAGTCGAGACCTTGCTCTCCTTGGAATGTAATTTCAAAGTTGCGGCACCAGTCGGCAACAGAAAAGCTCTTGGTTGCCTTCATCGACTGAAATTTTCAGTGTTAAAATCATATTTTCAGTAAAAATTGAAAACTTACCGATTCCAGCAACTTGTCTCTGTTGATCTTCATTGGAAGCTTGTCGTGATAGTGTTTCTGGTGGAACTTTCTGACTTCGTGGTAGAAGAAATCCTGCTTGTCTTTGAAAGTTTCCGATCCTCCGATGTTTTTGAGCAGGAAATGAGTAAATGTTGCCGCAATCACATTTCTCTCTTTGGTGACTAGTTCCACTTTTGGCTGGCAACCGTCGTCCACGATGAACGTTGGCTGATTAAACTGATTGTTGTTACTCAAAAAATTAAACTGGAAAAGATGCAAGGCAATGATGATATTTTCACAAATTTTAAGCAAATTTAATTAAATACCTTAGTGGAAGGGCACAACCTAAAAGTGACAAGCCTTTTTGGAATAAATTTAAGTATCAGCTCCTTGATGGTCAACTGCTTAGGTGACACATAACAGTAGACTTTCTTCGGTTTGGCCAATTTCTCTCCTTGAATGCTCACAAGTCGAGCCTCGTAGGAGATGTTGTGGTTTTTGGTTGCCACGTTTTTGTGGACAAAAGCAGCGTCCGCTTCTGCAGTCAAAAAGAAAATCGTAATTAAATACTCCAACATTAATTAATATTCAAGCTCACTGCTGAGAACAATGATGTCAAAGTCGCCGTTGTTCAAAACAACTCCCTTGTACGCTACAGAAGCGTGGAAACATCCCTCTGAGGGAAACAAAACTTGAAGACAGATTCTTTGGCTTGCAATGTCATATTCTAGGCGAACATTGTTGGACAAGTCTCCAGACGAGCCGATCTATTAAAAAAGAGGAATTGTTAGACCACAAAGTTTTGAATTAATTGTGAATTACTTCGGATATTCCAACGGAATACCCATCGGTTGGGTTGTCGCCAGGCTGGAACATGCAAATGTTGTTAAACTCATCCCGAGGCTCAATGGAAAGGACGTGAGGAATGTCTGCCGTGCACACAACTGTGGAACTGTGCCGCACAAAAATGGTCTTGCTGGGGTCAGGAGGTCCTGAAATCAATGATCACATTTTGAGCAAAATGAATTCAAAAAGTAAATTTTAAATTTACCTGGCAAAAAGCATTTGAGGAAGGGGCTGCCCTTGACATGGCAGTTGCCGATGAGCACCGAGACACGATATTGACCAGCATGCCTCACAGTGAACTTGACCACAGCAACATTTGCCTGACTCGGATCTGCGCCCCCCAGTTCGGTGAGAGCAGCGACGCGCCTGTTGCCCTGAGCCACCTCGACGAATAAGTTGTCCGTGTCACATATTGGATAAGGCTGACCGTTCCTTTGATAAAACTAAACAGGATTTTTTTAAATTACAATAAAGACTTCAATAAAAAAAAATTGAGTGCGCACTCTGACAGTAAAAGTCATGGTTTCTCCGACAATCTGCGGCTCTTCCCACTCGAAGTTGACCCTGCAGTTGCCAGGCAGGAGGTACTTTCCGGTCACATACTGGAGCAGGGTGTGTTTTGCCTCCGGGGCCAGAGCGGGCTGCGTCATGGCGGCCAAAGTCACCAGACCAGCGACACTCACAGACACGACCATCATTCCGCCTGAGAGGAAAATTAATGAAAACAAGTTTTTTCTTCTTCTACTATAAAACATACCCCAGCTCCAGGACGCGTGTCCGTCCGTCTTGACGACCTCCGTCCATAGTTCCTCTTTCAGCCTTTCAAGCTGCTCCTTGGACGTGGGCAGCGCCTGCCTAGCCGTGGTCCAGGACAGGAAGTCCTTTCCCAAAGCAGGCCGCGCTCTGCTGTCCTCGAGCCAGTAAACGTCCTCCAAAGCCGACACTTCTAGCTGCGCCAACCTGGAATCAAGAAACACATTTTAAGAAATTGTAAATTTTTGGAATTATTGAGAATGTAATAATATAATAAATATGGCATAAAAGATTCAAAATTTTAACGTTAGAGATTTGGGAATTATGTAATTTATGTTTCTATATAAATTATTGTGCATTAATGAGCTATTTATTTGAACACATTAATTAAAATTACGTTAAAATAATTTAATTCAGAATTTTAAATTAAATAAAAATATAATTCAAATAATCAAAACTTTGAAAAGATAACAAAAGTAAAAAAAAATTGATATAATATTAAACAATAATAATAAAATTAAAATAATTAGAAAAATCAGTAATTAATTAAAAATTAGAGTCTTTATGCAAATAATTTATAATTATTTTTATTCAAACCTTTGATAATGTTGGGCCAAGCTGTGGTGCGTGAGCCATTGCTTGAGGATAAGACGTTGCTGCAGAACTCGGGCGGCGCGACGCACCCGTTCCTGGTCCTCACTCGGCAGATCGGGCAGCTGTTCCAATTGTTCCAACTGGGCGCAGCTCACGAGCGTGGAAATACCTGCAACAGGCGGCGGAAAAAAATCAAGGTTGCTAATTGGGCTTTGTTCGTGATTCACACACAGGGCATGGGAAAGCGGCCTTTTGTGCTCTGAACAGACACACGAGCGGCGGGTGAATAATAAATTTAATTTTTTCTCGAAAGGCCGAGAGCTTCAGCAGCGATGATTGCATCAGGAAATTTCTCGTCAAGGGTGAAACACTTGAAGCGCTCTGTGTGTGACGAAAAAAAGCAACAAGTATCGGCTCGGCTAATTTATTATTAAATAATCAGCTGCCGGTAACAAAGAGTTATAAAGCGGGGTTTATAAATGTAATAAATTGAACGTACAACAAAAAAGAAATCAATAAAACTTGATATATCTATCAAGCACCTCTAGAGGGATTTTTATAGACCAAGTAAATCCTAATTTTACAGAATTAGAAATTATATTTTTTTTTTATTTGATTCAAATGTTTCAAAAGAAAAAGAAAAGACACTTTGGATTTGTTCTGTTTGAACAATTTTCACATTTAAATTTATTTTTCCAGTAATCATTTATGTCAGAAAGTGAGATTTATATTTATTAATATTTATGAAAGCATTTAAATAAATTATTTTGAGCATCAATTTTAAAATTGAATGGTAAAACTTGAGGTTGATACCTGGCGAACGTCGTTGCTAAGAAAAAATGAAAAAAATAAAGGACAGTTGACCCCAAAAGGCTGGTTTTGTCGTGTCTGAACTAAAACTAAGTGGGAGGGAATTAAATTAATACAAATTAAAAATAAAATGGGGAGACTTTAATTTCAACAAAAAACGTCATCTCCTTTTTATGTATTCACTGCATTTTATTTATTCATTTTTTTCCAGGAGGTTCGCCGGGTTTAAATTTTTCACCAATTTTTAAATTTAACAAATATCAATATCATAAATAAAACCTTTTTTCACATTCGTGACTTTTTTAATTCACCGTCAGTAATATATTTCAATAAATTCTGGCATTCGGAATAAATTTGCTCCTCGAAACGGACAAGGGCGAATTTTGACGCAGCTTTTAGGAAGGGTCTTCTTGAGAGGTACAGATATTGGAGCTGTCGGTGGGTGCAAAATTAATAACCGATGCGCAAGTGTCAAACGACCCATCGATCAACGTGCATATTGTGCCACCCGAGTGAGATAAAGGCCCTCTCGAAAGTGGTGCGCCTGAAAATTTCGACCAGCGGAAATAAAAATGTGGCCGTCCTCACGACCGACCGATCCATCACGCGCCCGACTGCAGATGAAAAACGCGCAACGGACCTTTATTTATGACGTTTTAATCCGCGAACCCATTCTGCGCCGGCGAGTTGCGGCCGCCAATTTTAATTATTGTTTCGCATCTGCGAACTTTTTTTTTGAAATTTTTTGCTGAATATGAAGTTATTCATTTTTTTTTGTGGCGATTTTTTTTCATATACTGAAGATTTATAAACAGTATGAATGAAATAATTAATATCCTCAACAGCTAAGAACAGACTTGCACGTACTCTGCATTTAACTAAAAAATTTGCATAATGAAAAAGAAACTGTCAGCTCGTAAAATAATCATCTTTACTGCCATCGGCCGAGCTGCGTGACCACGACGACGCAAAATAAAATTAATTCCGCTCGATTTCGTGCCGGCAGCCGCTTTTGCGCTGCCCTCGGCAGAAAGGAAAGCACCATTATGAAGAATTTTATTTCCCTTCGTGGGCGTTGGCTGGAAACTTGTTGTTCCCAAATGTATATTTTACGGCGAGAAGTGCAGAATTATTGCATCTGCTTGGCAATTTTGCAATTTTGAGCACGCGACCAAACGGCGCAAGACGTACATATAATTTTGCATTTTACATGCGATAATAAAGAGACGGTGGCCGCAATATTTATGAGGTGTGCGCAAGGGAAAAATTTATACTTTGGGGACAATAAAAGTGGGCGTTTGAATTCGGCACGCTCGCGATTCTCGACGGAAAATATTGGTGGGGCCTATGAAAATTTTATTGCGGTTGCCTACGAACGGAGAGAGCAGAATGAGAGTTTGGGGGAAAAATCTCCGCGAACATAAAAATAAACGTGTGTGGATTGCGGAGAGGCTGAGACGATTTGTTTGCGTCGTATGGGCTGGAACAAAAATATTCTATGAGGCTTGCGTACAAACAAATAACACGTGCAAATCTTTCTGATCTTGCGTGATGGTGAAAAATGTACGTAATAAATTGTTTTTTCAAAATATTTTGCTTCAAAATTTGTAAAATAAAATGTAAGCAGGAGTGCAAGGGCGAAGGCAAAATAGGAATGCAAATTAAGTCTGATCGTAAATTTAATTACAGGTCGTGGCTTTTGTCAGGAGAAAGAGCAAAAGCAAAAAGAAAGTAGGCTTTAGGAAGTTTTAGACGATCTTTTATTTTGTTAATTTAATTTTTAAAGTTTTTGTAATTTTCTAATGTCCTGTAAATTTCTCTCTTCTTGCAGTTAACTTTTTTATTTATGAATGATGTATTTTGGCAGAGAATACCAAAATGTAACTTCAAATAAAATTCATTCCGACGCACGGAATATTTGTATTTTGAAAAAAAAGTGTTACTTTCTTTTATCAGAGTTAGGCGCTTCTATGAGAGGTAATTTAATTATTCAAAGGGTTCTTTTTTTTCAAATTCACGAAAAACACAACATGATAAATCTTTAAAGTGAAGAATTTGGGCTTTTCCTCATTCTAAATTTATATTGTTTTTATTAAAAAATGAAACGGCTCTACCAGTTTCGTTCACGGTCTGCGACCCTATTTTATGACCAAGAAATATATTAAAAAATCAGAAAAATTGAAGAAAATAAAAAACTAATACATTTTAATGAAAATAAAAAAGAAATCTGAATCTTAAAACCAGCAAATTCAATCCTATTTCATGATCAAACGCGCTGCTCGATGTAATACAACATAACAGGGCAAATATGAACCTTAAATTATTTTCTGCCCTAATTTTTGTTGAAAGGAGCAACATTCACTTAAATCTTGAATTGCTGTTTACTTTTAAATGAATAAAAAATTAAAATACTTTGTAAATTTTTTACCCTTTTTTATAATTTCTTGTCCATTATTAGAAAAGGATATAAATTTTGCAAAGTAATATAAATTTACCATTTCTTTTATCCATTTAAAAAAAAACAACAACAATTCCAGTGAATGTTGCTTCATTTTAAACAAAACCTATACGGCACATTATATTATATTTGTAAACTAAAAGTATAATTTCAAATACGTTCTTTAAAACTAAAAAAAAAATATAAAATTTTAAGTCTTTATCTTGAATTGTGAAAGATTTTTAAGTTTGCCTGGCTAAATTTATGGGCTTGAAGCTAAGAGCCTTTGCGGATCCAAATTTGCATGTGACACAAAAGACGAGTGGGTGTGTTTGTGCCGATTTTGGCGCCGTTTTCGCACTCGCGCGTGAAAGAGGTATCGATCGGGGGCCGCGGCGGCCGCTAACTCGGGGTGGCCGTGGCGAGGACTTGGCACGCGCCGGCCACGCCGCAACTGCACAACGGGGTTTCCTGCGATATGGAATTCGAGCGAATAATTACCATTCATCATGTCCCCGTCGACGGACGCTGCAATTTATTATAATACGCGTGCACGCGTTTCTGCAGCTGGAAAGGAGCTGTCGGGGGGCAACTGCAGAAAAACATGCGAATGTAGGACGAATTCTCTCATTTCACATGCAACTGATGCAGAAAGCAGGAAAAACGGAGTTGCAGAGAGGGGAACTGCAAGATGGATTTCTGCTGCAATATCATTTCTTTGTGGTTTTGGGAATAATTCTGACTTGGAATGACTCCAAACCTGCTTTTTGCTTATTTTTGGAAGAAAACAAAATTGTCAAGAGATTGAAAGTAAATATTGAAATCTGTTACGGCGGCTTTGTAGAAGGATGAGAAATATAAATTAAAAATGCACGCTGAAAACTATACTCATATAATTTTTTTCAGCAAAGAAAAAAAATTGTGAAGATAAAAATATTTTATTGAGATTAGTATGATTGTTTTACTGTATAGAAGGGTTGCGTTAGATAGTTATCACAAGTATACCTAAAGGTTAAAAAATTAAAAATTATCACAAACAAAAATATTTTCTTTTTATAGTTTTCATGTTATATTATTGGACTCCTCAATTTCTCGTTGCAAAAATATTTCAATTATGTTTTAAACTATTTTGAATAAAAAACTATTTTCGGCAACGAGGAAAAAGCCATGATTTTCTCCTCGAGTGTCAACTTCTTCAAACAAATTATTTATTATTAATTATTATTATTAACATTACACGATTTTCTCACTTTTTCAGAGTCAACGCTATTAATGAAGAAGCAAACTTTGCACATTTTAAATAAAACTCTCGATTGAGAAAGAATTTGTCTTCACAGAATTTAAATTTTAAAGTAAAGAGATAAGGCTTTTTTTCGTTGTTAAAATTGTTGTTATTCAAAAACAAAACGACTCTACCAGTTTCAGTCACGGTCATGAGCAAGAAAAATACAAAATCGGCAAAATTAAAAACCACATTTTATCAAACGATCAATATCTTAAAACTGACAAATTCAAGCACCAATCTATCTGTTAGTTATAAGTTTTTGAATTTTTTGTTAAAAATGTGGTTTTTCAATTTGCTCATTTTTTTCTGAATTTTTCCTGCACATGAAATAGGGTCGCAGACCGTGACCAAAACTAGTAAAGCCGTTTAGTCTTTAAATTTAAATGAAAAACAATTTTTTTACAACGAGGACAAAGCAGTTCCATGATGATCTCCAAAAGGGTCAATTTTTTCAAAAAAATATAATAAACATATTTTAAAAATAATAAAAAAATTCAATTTTTTTTCGCAATTTTAATATGAAAGAATAAAATGTAATATTAATTGAATGTGAGCTTTAAAAAAAAGTGATTGGCTTTAATCCAATAAATTTCATACATTTTTTCTTTTACTTCTGAAATAATTTTATTTATATATT